GTGAGATTGCCTGAACGAATAATTTCCAACATGGACACTGCATCAGACGGTTCCGTATATGGATAGCTACCTAGCTACCGAAACGAATCAATCTCTGTGCAAAAGTACATCCGAGGTGTGAAAAGAAAAGTGCTCCAGAACTCCAGTGATCCTTTTTTTTTTTTTTTTTTTTTTTTTTGCCCTAGACAGAATACGCACCCCGATCCTTCATGGTACTTTTCGCCACGCCGCGTCCACGCACTCTCCTCCGGATTGGCCCCTCGAGCACTGGATGGAGACGAGGTCCATGGGGTCTCATCCATGACCAAATGACTTGAGATCCCTTGAAAAGGTACGTTTGCGGGTGCATTGGTGTAATTAATGGACCTGAGCGAAGATGGAGCTACACGTCGCACGAAGGAATCCAGAGGTCATCTTTCGGTTATGCTTCACCTACCATATTCCAGTGATGTTTTGTAATCAGGACGGGTGGGACAAAAAGAGAAAAAAAGAAAACAAAAAATCCGACGTTATGCTAAGGGTCTTTTCAGGGACGCCCGCAATGATCTGATGCAGAGCAGCATTCTACACTCTGGGAATCAGGGTCTCCCACAAAATCCGCCAACAGGCGGGTGAAACGAGTCGGTCTCTGTTTCTGAGCAATCCTTCGGGCGGGCTCCAAGCGGGCCCTCAAGACTTCCCCCACCAAGTCCGTGGCGGAAGGATCGTGTGCGGCGCATACAGCCCTGGAGGTATCTGTCCTACACAGTACACCACGACAAGACTAGTAGACCGAGGAGGTACAGTCCCGATATCATACAACCCAGCGAATCTTGCCTTGTCCTTCTCGGTAGCTGGGGTGTTCTCTTCAAGGGTGTGTACTGTTCGTATGTCGCCGACCACGTAGATGAGCTAATCGACTGGTTCCATTGCCTTCGTAACCAAGCGCCGTGCTCTTTATGACAATAGCCCCCGTCCTGACATAGGTAAGAATAATAACTCGTCTATGGGTGCTACACATTGGACCATCAGCAATCTTCTCACATTTCCGAGTGTTGCTTTCATAATTGGATTCATGATGTCTCTTGATACTTAATTGTATGGTTTTACTTTCATTCTTTTGACAAGATCAACAGGGAATTCCATTGAACTGTACCTCTGGTCTTCTTGGCCTTGGTAAGCGGCCAAATGCACACATCATTTCATGGTACCTAGACGACCGCCTGCTGTACAGTACATTTTCGGGCGCGCTAGTGTTGACCTATCAATAGGCGCTCAAAATTACTGGGATCGGCGACCCTGGAAGGGGATCAAATCCGCCGACCCCATGAGCCCGTGCACCTGTTCCGGCTTGGCAGTGGAAGTTCCCTGTCCAGAAAAGCTCCCCCCCTGTAGTAAGCTGCTCACCAATAACACTTACACCCCGTCGGGCAACATTGGGGGTGGCTGTCAAAGAACAACAAACCATTGTCGAGATATAGTAGAGAGTAACGAGAATGTGTCTATAGCTGATAGTGTCTCTTGTCGGCTGTAGCTTAGGACTAGTCAATTCGTTCCCGTCTGTCAATTCGATATTATTGATCATCGATAGTGGAAGAGGTTGGTCGCGGTGTTCTTAGCTACTGCCAGCCACCTGTGAAAAGACATATTGTGGGGGGGCTGTCACTGAGACGGCGTTGCAAGAGTTGTTGGTCAGCTTGATTGTCCTGACGCACATGCATACGACACCCAACTTGAAGGCAGAGCCCATCCAAGAGAAAAACATAATTGCCTTGTGAGTTGTCATGTTCAATTGAGGATATGAGCAAGTATTTAACCAAGATAATTGAATTCCATGCTCAATCTGGGGGTTGTGGAGGTTTCAATTCAAAAATTGTATAGCAGCTACACCAGTAATCGAGAAAACCTCTCCCACTACCACGCTACATGCGCCCATGATAAGCTTCCCGCCCTATGTACCCCACCTGTCACCTATTTTTGACAGTGCACCTCTCGATCTCTGTACTACCACATTGACTGCTTACCTACCCATACTTTAATCAGTCTGCCTCAAGTCTCAGGATCAGCTTGAGGCTGTGCCACAGAATATGCCGTCTTCTAGAATATTTGGTAGAAATATAAGAACAAGAGCCGCATGCTGGGGGAACAGTATTTTCCCGGGTCGGAGCGGCCGCCTGTTGCGACTTGTCTTACTATACAGCTTTCCATCGAAGAGAGCGTGGCGACTATGCGTAAAACTGGAGGCGGGGCACGCGATTTGCATCAATGACGACATGGTCAGGTCTGCGCAGAGACAAAGCCTATCGTAAGCCGACAGCCTCATTTTCTTTGGAAAGCTTTGGTTCAGCTCGCGGTGCTCTTCTTATGTAGTAACTTGACAGTCTCCATATCCAAGCCAGGTTCGTCATGTAGATGAAAGTCTATCGAGCTTCCGACTTGCTCGTGACCCACTACAGCTGCTTCGTTACTGCTTCACCTGAGAGTCGCATTGTTCCAGTGTTGTCCAATGAGACGTCCCGTAGCTTACTGTCCTCTCGGGCCATAAGCGCTGTGAAAGTGAGGCTTTCGTGACCAGTAAAGACTATCTTGGACGATGACAGGTAGCGGGTGGCAACTTTTGAATTACAGACTATCAATATCTTCTTTGACACTACATTACTAGTTACAGGAGAATGTTACCAGAATGGTAGTCCAGCTTGGTATAGCATTGACTTCTATAGTCGTTCATGGTGATCACTGCTGGCAGAGTCGACGAAAGTAGACCGTCTTACTATCAGGCATGGTGGCTGTCTTTCAACGTTATCAACACCTTCGCCTCGATGGGAGAGTCTCAGAAAACATACTGGTCCAAGCGAGGTTCCATGCCTGATAAGCTTGTGCATTACTGTTCGAGCTTCGTGAACGTATAGTCCCGCTGGAGAACAGTATGCAACAGGCCTTTACTCTGTGTTGAGCATCCGATGCCACATCGTGACAGTAAACTCGGAGAATCATCGTGACGAATGCGTCATTCGGCACGTGAAACGGCGCATGTACCTGTCACTACATCTATCCTCCTGTGCCTTCACTCTGAGAATATTTCGAGACACACTCAGACATTCACTTCCAAGAGACCAATTCCATCATTTCCTTGGCTTATACTAAAACAGAATCTCAGTCACTGCAGATAACTTCCCAGATCTGCAAACAAATACTATCGATCTCATTATTTTATCTTTTCTTTCTGATCAAGGAACAATCTTTCTTCAACCAAGGATCGTCCTCGAAGCTTTTATAATATCATAGGAAGAACTCAATTACTGGTACTTTCCTTCTCGAGGTGTTGTTGGATTTACATTTCTTAAGTGGTATCATCTCTCTATTTTCACTTTTTTTCTTTCTTCTCTCTAAAGCCTTCGACATCATGATACCCTCCTCGACCCAAAGGCGTACATCTGCCCTCCTGCGGGCTCAGGCGGATGGAAAAGCCCAGATCCATGGCGTGTTTGGCGGCCAAGGAAACAATAAGAATTATTTCGAAGAGATTAGGACCATTTTCTCCACTCACGAATCAGCCATCCGCGACTTGATCGAGCCTCTTGGTCATACCCTTCAGGTTCTATCACAAGATGCTCGAGTATCGGAGCAGTATCCCGAAGGCCTCGACGTCATGCGGTGGCTGGAAGACCCTGAGACAACTCCATCGGCTGATTACCTCATTGCAGCTCCCCTCAGCTTCCCATTGATTGGTCTCCTGCAGCTGGCCCATCTGAAGGCGATCTGCATAGACCTTGATGCCAGCCCAAAGGATTTCCCGGCAGTGTTTGAGGCCCTTGCTGGCCACTCGCAGGGTGTCGTGGTGGCGGCGGCTGTATCCACAGCATCAAGCTGGCCAGAATACTTTACCGCCGCCATCAAGGCGGTGACGGTCCTCTTCTGGATTGGAGCACGATCACAACAGGCCTTTAGCCAAGACTCCTTGCCAGAGGACAAGGCAGCACAACTGGAGGCGGATGGTCACGGGAATCCGACGCCCATGCTGTCCGTCTCGAACATCACTCAACAGTACCTAGAGGCGAGCCTCAAGAGACTGAATCAGTCGATACCAGATTCCAACCATGCTTACATCAGCCTGATTAACTCGGTATCAAACTTCGTCGTCAGCGGTCCGGTCCGGACGCTTGCTGCATTGATCCAGTTCATGCGGGCAGGAGCCGCCAAGGAAGGCCAGTCGCAAGCCCGTATCCCCTTCTCGCAGCGGAAGCCGTCGCCAAATTTCCGCTTCCTTCCGATTACCATTCCCTGTCATTGCCAGCTTCTAGACACTGCGGTACCGCTGATCGATTCAGATCTCAGCGGCATTACCATCAAGTCTGTGGACCTTAAGGTCCCGGTCAACAAGATGCTTGATGATAGTTCACTCGCATCGTCGGGCCTTTCCATGACCAAAGGAAATGACAACTTGGTACCAGTTCTTACTCGGCTGATCACATCGCAGACTGTAAACTGGGCCGGCATTAATCTCCAGGGAGCTACGCATATCATCGACTTTGGGCCAGGTGCCTCAGCCGGTGTGGGGGCCCTGACACACCGCAATGTCATCGGCTCCGGGGCCCGGGTCATTGTAGCCGGTAAGACGGAGAAGAGTCAAGGGTCTGAGCTTGGGTCGCTCCATGAGCTTCTCACCCAGCACGATGAAGAGCTTGTATGGACTTCCAAGTGGTCCGAAAATCACCGAGTATCTCTGGTTGAGACATCTTCTGGCAAGATGGTGGCTTCCAAGCTCAGCCGGCTCTTGGGACTCCCGCCTTTCTTCGTTGCTGGTATGACCCCGACCACCATCCACCCCGAATTTGTGGCCGCAGTCATGCACGCAGGCTACCACGTCGAGTTTGCCGCTGGCGGCTACCACAACGCTGAATCCCTCAGAAAGGCCTTGTACAAACTGCGTGACTTGATGCCCGCTGGACGCGGCATCACCATCAATGTGATTTACGTCAGTCCCAAGGCCATTGCCTGGCAAATTCCCTTTATCCGCCAACTCCGCGCCGAGGGCTTTCCCCTGACCGGTATGACTGTCGGCGGCGGTGTTCCGTCCCCAGATGTGGCCACCGAGTACATTACGACGCTAGGACTGGAGCACATCTCCTTCAAGCCTGGCTCCACTGCTTCGATCCGTCAGGTGGTCGAAATCGCAAAGCGCAACCCAACTTTCCCTGTCTTGCTGCAGTGGACTGGAGGACGTGGCGGAGGACACCACAGTGCCGAAGACTTTCACGTCCCCATCCTCGAAACGTATGCGGAGATCAGAGCGTGCAGCAACATTTCTCTTGTTGCGGGTTCCGGGTTCGGCTGCGCAGAGGATGTTGTTCCGTATATGACTGGCAAGTGGAGCTTGGCTTACGGCAGGAAGGCCTCAATGCCATTTGACGGTGCCATGTTTGGTAGCAGAGTCATGACTTGCGCCGAGGCCAAGACTTCTCCCGGAGCAAAGGCGGCAATTGTTGCTGCTGCTGGAGTGGAGGACAAGGAATGGGAGGTGAGTAATGCTTCGGCAATCGCGCATTTTCTAAACTGACTCTGGATGGTACTAGGGTACTTACAAGGGAGCAACCGGTGGTATCATCTCCGTTGTCAGCGAGATGGGCGAGCCGATCCACGTTGTTGCGACCCGGGGCGCTCTTTTCTGGAATGAGATGGACAAGACTGTCTTCTCCCTGGACAAGAAAAAGCGAGTTCCCGTATTGACTGCCAAGAAGGACCACATCATTGCCAAGCTCAATGCCGACTTTCAACGCCCCTGGTTTGGACGCAAAGCTGATGGCACAGTTTGCGATATTGCGCAGATGACATACGCCGAAGTCGCTCAGCGGCTTATCAACCTCATGACGGTGGGTGGCCACCGCTGGATTGATGGGAGCTACATGCGCTTCGTTGCCGATATCCTGGTCCGTATGGAAGAGCGATTCTCCACAGTCGACGCAGACGCCTCACTCATTCCCGATGCCGAACTTCGAGTGAGCCCTGTGGCTACGACCAATGCAATCATCAAGTCCCTACCTGCTGCTTCAAACACACTGATCTCATCCGAGGATGTTGACTTTTTCACTCAGTTGTGCAGACGTCCTGGACAGAAGCCGGTTCCCTTCATTCCAGCTCTGGACGAACACTTTGAGACGTGGTTCAAGAAGGACTCGCTTTGGCAATCTGAGGACCTCGAGTCTGTCGTCGGCCAGGATGCCGGTCGCACTTTTATCCTCCATGGCCCAGTCGCTACCCGCCAAGTTGGCAAGGTTGATGAACCTGTAGCTGATGTCCTCAACGGTATCAACAATGGTGTTATCAATCACTTGGGTAATGCATCAGCTAACACTCCTATCCCCTTTGAGGAGTCGCTTCAGAGCTCTGCATCTGATAACGCGACAATGCGCCAGGTGGTAGAAGGTTCAATGGATACATCTTTGCTGACTGGTGCTGATGTTCGCGAACTACTCTGCCAACAGTCTACTTGGGCATCGGCCCTCTTTAGCTCGCGATTCGTTGTCCGTGGCCATGATTTGATTGAGAACCCAATCCGGAAGCTCTTTTCGACTCTGAAAGTGGACTCAATCGCGGTCAAGGCAAACTCTGTCTCTCTATTTGCCGATGACAAGGTTATTTTGCTGATCTCCAAGGTTGACAAGCAACTGCAGGTCCTCCCCTTTACGTACATCACTAGTGAGGATAAGCCAATCACCATGGCTCTCAGATTCGAGTACCGGCCTGAGACCAGTTATGCCCCAATTTGGGAGGTGATGGAAGATCGCAACGAGCGTATCTGCACCATGTATCGCCAGCTGTGGCAGGGCGGTGCCGCGTCTGCCAGCAAGTCGCACTCATCTCATGATGCAGCAGTTTTTGAAGATGGCTTCGTTGTCGATGAGTCGAGAGTCAAGGCGTTCAACCGTGCAATCGGGTACTCCAAGGTGCACCGCGAGGAAAAGGTTCCCATGGACTTTGCCATTGTCGCATCTTGGAGCCCCATCTGCAAAGCCTTGCTACAAGACCCCATCCAGGGTGACGTTTTGAATCTGGTGCATCTGTCGAATGCTTATACCGCAAACGGCAACATAGAACCACTCAAGATGGGTGAGGAGATCGCCACCCGCGCTTTCGTGAGTTCCATCACGATTGAGGACTCTGGAAAGGTCGTCGAGGTTGCTTGCGAACTACGCCGCGGGTCTCGTGGGCCGCTGGTTTTGACTGTCCAATCGAGATTCCTGTTCCGGGGTAGCTACGACGACTTTTCGTCCACCTTCTCTCGCAAGGTCGAGACTCCTTACGAGCTGCAAATGTCCTCGGAGGCTGACGTGGGTGTGCTCGCCTCAAAGAAATGGTTCATCCTGGACGACAACAGCAAGCTGGACTACATGAACCTTACCGACCTGACCTTGGAGTTTCACTTGCAGACATTCACCAGGTGGGAAACCAAGTCCACGTACAAGAGCGTTGATACCTCTGGCAAGGTCTTTGTGAGGTCCGAGGCTGGCGAGTTGACACGCGTTGGGTTTGTCAAGCACCATGCAGGGGAGTCTCGCAACAACGCTGTGATTTCGTACTTGTCCCGCCGTGGCCGAGTTGTTGATGCTCAGCAGAAGCACAAACTCAGCGGAGCGGCACCCGAAGCTCCTGCTCATGTCAGCGAGATTCGCATTCCAGCTTCGAATGAGGCTTACTCTAGGGCCTCTGGAGACTTCAATCCCATCCACACATCGCCACTATTTGCCCAGCTCGTCGACCTGCCAGGTACAATCACTCACGGTATGTATTGTTCCGCTGCTGTGCGCCAGGAAGTTGAGAAGTATACTGCTGGTGGAAACCCCCGTCGCATCAGAAGTTACGATGTGTCGTTCGTGGGCATGGTCCTTCCCAACGATACATTGGAGGTCAGTCTCCGCCACTCTGGCATGCAAAACGGTCTGAAGTCCTACGACATTACTGTCAGCAAGCAGCAGAGCGGCGAGAAGGTCTTGACTGGAACGACTCTGATTGCTCAGCCATCGACCACTGTCGTCTTCACTGGACAGGGATCACAAGAAAAGGGAATGGGCATGGACCTATACGCTTCGTCCCCCGTTGCCAAGGCCATCTGGGATAAGGCAGACGCCTACTTCATTGCCCAATTCGGCCTCAGTATACTCGACATTGTACGTAACAATCCCAAGGAGATCAAGGTGCATTTTGGTGGCGTCAAGGGTCGGATGCTCCGACAAAACTATCTTTCCATGTACTACGAGACGCCAGCCGCCACAAAGCACGGCAAGCCCGAGAGGCGGCCCATCTTCCCCAGCATCACTGAGCACTCTGCTTCGTTCATACACTCGTCGCCCAAGGGCCTGCTGTTTGCTACGCAATTTGCGCAGCCCGCACTCACCATCATGGAGATGGCAGCCTTCAAGGATATGCAGTCGAGCGGTGTCGTTGATAGTGACTGCCAGTTCGCTGGTCATTCACTGGGAGAGTACTCCGCTCTTGCGTCTATTGTCGACTTCATGCCCTTTGAGAACCTTCTTCATGTTGTCTTCTGTCGTGGTATGACCATGCAAGGAGCTGTAGAACGTGACAGCAAGGGTCGTAGTGCATTTTCCATGGTGGCTGTGGACCCGAGCCGAGTGAGAAGAGGTAAGTCTTTATCCTATACTACAAACTATATATGGTAGATATTAACATTTACTGTCTACAGAATTGACTGACTCGGCCCTCCGCGAGCTGATCGTCAACATCCAATCCAAGACCGGCCTGTTTGTCGAAATTGTAAACTTAAACATCCGCAACGGTCAGTACGTCTGTGCCGGCGAGCTGCGGGCCCTGGACCTGCTGCAAAAGGTCTGCGACGACATCAAGGCACTTCCATCCTTTTCGCAGCCCACGGAGCAGTCGCTGGCCGTGATTGCGCGCCGGGCGCCCGCCTACGACAGCATTGTCCCGCAAGACGTGGTCCTCGAGCGCGGGGCCGCCACGGTGCCTCTGGCGGGCGTCGACGTGCCCTTTCACAGCTCGTTCCTGCGCCCGCGCATGGAGGCGTTCCGGCGCGTGCTCCTCGACAGCCTCGACGCGGCGCGCCTGCGTCCCGAGCGCCTCGTCGGCAAGTACGTGCCCAACGTTACCGGCACCCCCTTTGCCATTGATCGGGACTACTTTGAGAGCGTGCTCGAGATTACAAAGTCGGAACGGGTCCGGGCTGTCCTCGATAACTGGGACGATTGGATGGCGAGGGCGCAAAACCAGAGGGTCGCTGTCGCCTAAGGCGTTGAGATTTCACTTTTTTTTTCAAAATGTTTCCTTTTTTTATCATGTGGGGATTAGCAAGGACGGTGTTGGCGCAGATTTTCTTCATTTACGGTCTCGGCATTGGGAATTTGGCGCTATATTTTCTCATTTCGTTGGTTTCATCTGCTCTCTTTCCCATGTTTTATTCATTTGTTACTTACTCCTGTTTTCTCAAATACAATCTTGAATGATAACAATCATTTCTTGAACTACATGTGCAACCATATTTTACAAAGCTGACTGCCGTTGTCGAAATTTGAGGCAACACTGAAGACAAACAGGGTTGAAGCAACGGAGTATCTTGAGGTACGTGCTATTGGCATCTCTTGGTTCATCAAGCATTACAAGTCTGGACAAGTGCTAACTGGTGGCTGAGCTTACAGTGGCATCGTAAGCAAAGTTGACGACACAGCAGGCAAGCAGGTTCGCCGCAACACCTTCAACCCACTATTTATCAGTGGGTCTTTTACGAGCCACTCTCTGTGCCGCGCCATCGGTATGTGGTTTTTCCCGTACAGCTTTCGCCAAATCAATGCGCCGGCCTACTCAAACATAATTCGTTTCTTTTGATGAACTTTCGGTATTATGATACTGCCACGGAAATTCGAAAGATCCTGAATGCTTGCAAAGCACCAAGAAAACAATGGTAAGAGTAAGCTTGCAATGGCTGAAAGCAGTAAGTGCTGAAACCCCACCAGGCATACCGCGTGCGCTAATAATCTACTTCGAGCCGGCATCATCAAAACTCGCCAATAAAGTCCAATGCATACCGGGTCCAGGTGGGTAAATGAATACCTACGAGGTGTCCTACAGAGTAGTTTGGCTTTAGAAGATGAAGATACCAACATTCTTTTTACCAGTTCAGTGCAAACGCTTTGTACCTCAAATTGTCGCCCATCCCCGGCAGGTGCTGATTGTGGAATAATAGTAGTAAGCAGGAAGCAGCAGCTGGGGTCAAGGCACAGCTGTAGTCCCTAGAAATGCCACCCCAATTTGGCTGACCGTGTGGCTCATCCCCACCTTTTCCCCCATCGTGTTTCCCACCTTGGATTTTAGCCCACCAAAGCAGAGTCATCACTTTCTATTCCCAACCCGACCAAACCAACATGACTGCATCCACGTCGGTATCATGCAGGTCCCTCCCTACGCACTAGGTACGCTTACCTAGTTGGTGGTGAGATCCTATCAGCCTTACTGTGAAGCGAGCAAAACGAGCTCTCGTTTCTATTCGTCCGCGTCGACCATGGCTCTTGTTTCCGTACCAGGCTGCTCTCTGGCGTTGCTGCCTCTCTGCCTATTCGCCTAATTTTAGGACCGCGTGCAGTGTCGAGAACCTCGATTCCAGACCTGGCCCACGCCATGTGGCATTCAAGGGCCTGACGGAAGGAATCGATGGCATAGTGAGCTTGGCTTCATCACGATATCCGCTCTTAGTGTTTCTTGTCACGCCATGGCTCGCCCGCAGGATGACAGTAGCCATCGCCGGATACGGCCCCCTTGACAACCCTTGGCCATACTCGAAATCAAATATCCGTTTCAACATAGATAACAGTCCATTCTCCTTCTCGATCTCGACTGAATAGTAGCTTCTTCCACTTGTAGCTATTTTGTGTAGCTTGATTCGTCTTCCCGCCGTTCCCTTGTCACATCTTTGGTCATTTACATTTCCGACCATAATAGATTTCGACCACACGATATTTTCTTTTGAACACTGGCAAGACTTGAACCGTACACGAACAAATCTTCTGAAAATACTTTCTACACGTCATCCAAACCACAGATTGATCGACGACATTCATCTTGGATAATTCGATACTGACCATAGTCTACATACTAACACTTGTATTAACATTACTTATCTTTAGTAGCTTAGCATATATCTCAACTTTGTATCAACAACACATCAATTGTATTTGCCACAGTATGTACCGAACGTAGTTCAATTACTTTTCCAAGCTTAGAAGCAACTCACCAGTCTGGCAGCAATCATCACCATGTCTAGCACAAACTTCGACTCGAACCAGGCGGCTACTTGGAGCAAATATCTGGAAGATGCACCGCCGCCTGTTTTCCCCCGTCGCCTCAACTTATCTGTGGCACCAGCTCCCGACTCCCTGCTCCGACGTAAGATTGCTCTTCCCAAGAAGCGCACTACAAAGGTCCCAGTCGAGACTCTGATCCAGCTTGCCTGGTCTCTTGTCAACGTCTACTACTCCGACGCTGCGGATGTTGTATTTGGCTTGGCCGTCATGAATGAAATCGATGAAGCCGAAATCGACGATTCTGTGACAGCTATCCCTTCTCGATTCTGTATGCAGCCAGAACAGACGCTTGCTGCCTGCCTCAAAGATATCGAGTCTCGCGATATTCCCCTCATCTGCTCGGAAGGGATTACTCTAGACAACATCGCCAATCTCGGCATCGACATGCTGAATGCTACCAGGTTTGATAATCAACTCGTCATCTGCGGCGATTCCATGAGTTCCGGATCCGTTCAGCTGGATCGCGCCCTCAATGTCGAGTGTACCCTGACCCGTGCCGGCGTCATGGCTCAAGCTTTCTACGACGAGACCATCGTGGACCGCACCGAAATGCAACGCATCCTTGGGACTTTTGAAAATGTCCTGCAGCAGCTCTGCGAACCCTCCAGCATGATCAAATCCTTGGCTGAAATCAACCCCATCAGCGCTCAAGATCTTGCTCAGGTTAGCGAATGGAACAAGGCTATCCCGCCAGCCGCTAATGACTTGATGCAAAACATGGTGCAAACTCGCATCGAGCAAAGCCCTGATGCAGAAGCTATCTGCGCTTTGGGCGTTTCCATTTCCTACAAGGAGCTGGATCAGATGGCTGATAAATTCGCCCACCACTTGGCTGCCAAGGGCGTCAAGCCAGGAACCATTGTGCCATTTATGAGCGAGAAGAACCCTCTGGTTATTCCGATCTTACTTGCCATCATCAGAAGCGGCGGTGCTTTCGTACCCTACGATCCTGCACATCAGTGGGAAGATACGGCCGGCCTTCTCGAGGCATGTGAAGCCAAATTCGTGGTTTGCTCGCCTGACCATAAGCAACGATTTGACGACCATGGCATAGATGCCATCGTCTTTGACACGGCGTTCTTCGATGGACTACCAGCCCTTGGACCCATTGCAAGCACGGTCACCCCTCAAGATCCTGGTTACGTGATCTTCACCAGTGGCTCTACAGGCAAACCCAAAGGCATTGTCTGCTCCCACAGCGCTTGGTGTACTAACACACTGGCCCATGGGCCTCGAGAATTCTGTGACGCAGAGACCCGACACTTGCAGTTCTCCGCATACACTTTCGACATCAGCATCACCGATATTTTTACTACTCTTGCCTTTGGTGGCACAGTTTGTGTTCCTTCCGACCACGAGAAGATGAACGACCTGCCCGCCGCGATCAACCGCATGTCCGTCAACCATTGTACCATGACGCCAACTGTGGCACAATTCCTGTCTCCAGATAATGTGCCGACTCTCAAGACACTTATTACTGGTGGCGAGGCCATGCCAGCCGATTTCATCAGCATGTGGAGCGATAAGATCCACTTGATCAACTCATATGGCCCTGCAGAGACGACATCTCGTGTGAGCAGCTCCCTCAAGAGTCTCGGAGACAAGGGGAGTGTTATTGGCACAAACATGGGCGCAGCCCTTTGGGTGACTCAAAGTAATGATCCAGAGAGACTTTTGCCCATTGGTGCCATAGGAGAGTTGATCGCTGAAGGAAACGTCCTCGCAGATGGATATCTCAAGAACGAGGAGAAGACTCGTGAGGCATTCATCGACGCTCCGAAGTGGCTCAAGGAGGCATATCCCGAGCGTGCGCATCAAAAAGTATACAGAACAGGCGATCTTGTTCAGCAGCAGTCTGATGGCGCATATGCTTTTATTGGAAGACGCGACACACAAATTGTAAGTATCTTCGGATCAAATTATGTACTCGTGATCTATTACTAACTTGAGCCAGAAAATTCATGGCGTTCGCTTGGAAGCTGGTCACATTGAAGCCAAGATCAAGCAAGAGCTGCCCGATAATGCGGAATTGGTGGTCGACAAGATTCTGGTTGGCGAGGATCGCCCGAAGCAGATGCTTGCGGCTTTCATCACACTACCTGATCTTACCGCTCCAGGTGAAGCCAAGGGGACTGAGCTGTTGCCGCCAGATGCTGCAGTCCGTGATGTTGTTTCTAGACTCCACCAAACTCTATTGGCCCAGTTGCCTTCTTACATGGTCCCCAACTTTATCCTACCCTTGCGTGCTATTCCTTTGGGAACTACGGGCAAGGTGAACCGAAGAGGATTGCAATCGTTCGCTCGCGGCCTGCCTATCGACGTACTGAATCAGTACAATGGCGCATCTGCAACTGGTACCGGAGAGCGACCCCGCGGCGAGATCGAGATCACTTTGGCAAACCTTTGGGCGGATATCCTTCAGGTTTCCGCAGATTCCGTCAGCCGCGAAGACAGCTTTTTCGCTCTTGGTGGAGATTCTGTGCAAGCTATGAAGCTGGTTTCCGAAGCTGCGACCATGGACTTGCACTTTTCCGTCGCTGATGTCTTTCAATTCTCAATTCTTTCCGACTTGGCCCAATTCCTTGAGGGGCCCTCAGCTAATCACGAGCCTATCACGATCGAAGATATCGAAGAGTTCGAGCTAATTGGTGGCCCCAACAAGTTCAGAACACTCCGTGAGCAACTCTCCAAGGTTCACAAGATCCCCGTGAACCGTGTCGAAGACATATATCCCTGTCTTCCAATGCAGGAGGGCATGATGGCAGAAAACATCGGATCACCCGAAGCTTACATTCTGCAAGAAGTGCTCAAGCTCTCCAGTAAAGTTGATCTTGCCAAGCTCGAGGAATCTCTTGAAGCCCTTGTCGAGGCATATCCGATCATGAGAACTCGAATTATTACCTTGAAGCAGCTCGGCGCGTGCCAAGTTGTGATGACAGATGACGAACCAGTCGATATCGAGTATGATGATGATTTGGCCTCGTTTCTCGTCAGGGACAAGAAAAACCACATGGATTACGGTGATACAATGAGTCGATTCGCCATCATTCAAGAGCCATCTGGCGATCGATACCTAGTCTGGACCGTGCACCATGCTGTCACCGACGGGCATATGCACCAAGACATTTTGGGGCGTCTGGAACGAGCTTACCGCGATGAACCTCTTCCAGAAACGCTGCCGTTCAACCAAGTCGTCAAACTTCACTCTGAGAGACAGACTGCGAGTGCGAATGCTTTTTGGGGCAACCAATTCTCTAAGTGGGATGGGATACACTACCCTGAATGCGAAGAAACGTATGAGCCTGTGATCACCGACTATGTCAGCCGTCAAGTCAAGTTGCCTAAGGAAGCATCTGGATTCACACCATCTATCCTGTTTCGCGCAGCGTGGGCACTTGTACTTGCGCAGCTGAGCAACCAAACCGATTTAATCATGGGAATTACTCAATCCGGTCGAGACATCCCTCTGCCTGGCGTTCATGAGTCTTTGGGGCCATGTCTAGCAACTGTTCCGTTGCGTGTCCTGATAGACATGGAGCAGTCCGTTGCAAAGTTCCTGAACCAACTGCAATCGCAATACATCGATATCATCGAATATCAACACACAGGTCTGCAGCATATCCGCAAGGCTAGCAACGAGAGTGCCGCGGCCATTGGATTCCACAATCTGCTTGTGGTACAGCCCGTGACACGGAACAGCTCGAAACTATTTGTTCCCGATGAGTCTCGAAATGCTGGAGATGAACTCAACTTCGGACTACTTGTTGAATGTAATCTGTCCTTCGGCGAGGTCAATGTCCGTGTAGGATTTGACAAGACTCTGGTTTCTGCAATCAGTGCAGACTTGATCGCGCAACGATTGGAACATGTCTTCCACCAACTGAGCAGCAAATCCAGCAGGGAAACACCTCTCAAGGGTCTTTCCATTGTCAGTCCTGCCGATATGAAACTTCTTGAGAAGTTCAACCCCGAGGTCGAGCCCATGGAGCAGTGCATGCATTGGCTGATCGAAGAGCAAGCCCGACTCCAGCCCAATGCCCTCATGATTGACTCATGGGATGGGCAACTTACGTATCGTGAGGCAAACGAATACTCAGATAGGCTGGCCGGGGTGCTCATTGGTCTCGGTGTCGGGCCAGAAGTTCTCGTGCCGTTTGCGTTCGAGAAGTCAGCCTGGGGTGTCATAGCCATCCACGCGATCATGAAAGCCGGCGGTGCTTGCGTCGCCATGGATATGTCTCATCCTCGAGCAAGACACGAAAAGATTATCAGCGACACAGAAGCAAAAGTCATCGTGGCCTCTCGATTCTACGCCGAAAAGATTGACCTAGTCCCGCATGTTATTGCTGTAGATCAGCAAGCACTGGACCAAATGCCCCGTCGCCCCGCCTCTGCGCGCACAAACGTCGCACCAAACAACACTGCTTGGGTTGTGTACTCTTCCGGCTCGACTGGAACCCCGAAGGGATCAATCCTCGAGCATCGATCCCTCTGCACTACCTCCCGCATCAACTCTGGACTCTTGACGTGCAATTCATCCACTCGTGCCATTCACTTTTCATCATATTCCTTCGATGTTTGTATCGAGGAGACAAGCATCATACCCATGTATGGTGGCTGTATCGTCATTCCCAGTGAGGAGGATCGTCTCAATGACCTACCTGGAGTCATGGAACGCATGAGAGTCAACTGGGCTGATTTGACACCAACCGTTGTCCGCATGTTGAACCCTGAGAACTGTCCTTACCTCGATGTCATGGCACTGGGAGGTGAAGCACTCACCCAAGACATTATCAACACTTGGGACAGGAAGCCTGGTTTCCGCCTGTTCAACACCTATGGCCCTTCCGAGTGCAGTATTCAATGCACATCTAGTGAGCCTATGCAGACTCTGAAGACGGGTGCCGTTGGCGGAAATGTTGGAATTCCCAGAAACTGTAAGGTCTGGATTGTCGATCCTGATTCCTTAAGACCGCTACCAGCCGGTAGTGTAGGAGAGCTTCTTATCGAGGGTCCTCTAGTCGCAAGAGGCTACTTGAAAGAGGAAGCAAAGACCAAGGCTGCATTCCTCGACAACCTGTCCTGGGCTCCTGGTAGACGCTTCTACAAGACCGGTGACCTGTTCTCCTTCAATATGGATGGTACTCTTAACTGCCTTGGACGAAGTGACAGTCAAGTCAAACTCTACGGCCAACGAATCGAGCTCGGCGAAATCGAATTCAATGTGAAGAAGCACCTGAGCGACCCAGACTCTTCTCAGGTCATTGTTGAATGTTTTGCGCCAAACGGAGAGCCGGGTCGCAAGCTTTTGGCGGCCTTTGTCCAACTAGTCCCAAACAATGCGACTGATATGGAGATTATGGACATGTCAGAGTTCCTGCGAAACCAGCTGGCAGAAGTCAAGAAAAAGGTCGCCAATGATATTCCCAAGTACATGGTCCCTTCGCTCTTCATTCCCGTCATTAGTCTTCCATCAAACGCCTCTGGCAAGACTGACCGCAAAAAGCTCCGTGGAGAGGCTGCGGCCTTCAACCAGCAGCAACTTGCTACATATTCGCTGTCGCAGGCTGCCGAGCCATCTGCCAAGGTCGCCCTGTCCTCTGTTGTGGAACAGGCGCTCGCTGGTTTGTGGGCTGATGTCCTACACATTGATCTTGCCCAAGACCCCATTGGCGCCAATGACAGCTTCCTGGAACGGTCTGGAGACTCTATCACTGCAATGCAACTGGTCGGTAAAGCCCGTGCTGCTGGCCTCGCCTTATCGGTTCCGGTCATTATGAAGGCTCCTCGCCTGGCAGATATGGCGCTCGCAGCCAAGCGCATTGACGGCGTTGAGCTCAAAGTTCCAAATATTCCTACTGCCAAAGTCACGAAATCTGAAGCGACTACATCTGTCGCCAAGCCAAGTGCTTCTGTCCCAGTAGCGAAGCAAGTACCTTCAGCGTCCACGTCACCCACGCAAGTTACAAAGACCACCGAAACGACAGTTGCGTCAACCAAGATCCCTTCCGCCCCCTCCCGCCCCCGAATGATCTCCAAGGCTGCTCTTTCTTCGCAGCATTGGGACATGCTTCTCGAGAACCATAATATCCACCAGGATGCAATTGAAGACATCTATCCAACAACGCCTCTCCAGGAAGGTTTGGTTGCCTTGACGGCCACTGACGGATCCAGCTATGTCCTGCGCGATATATATGAACTCCCTCACAACGTCGATACCGCCAAGTTCCAGCGGGCCTGGAATGCTGTGGCTCGCAAAGATAGCATCCTGCGAACAAGGGTAGTCTTCCTCGAAGGACTTGGCTCTTGCCAGATTGTCATGAACGAGGACCTCCAATGGCAATCGGCCAGAAATATGGCGACCTACCTGGAGCAGGATAGATCCGAGTCAATGGGCTATGGCACTCCTCTATCACGATATGCTATTGTCGACAATGGAAAGAACAGAAAGTTTGTTTGGACGGTGCAGTAAGTTCTATATCAGTAATTCCTGCTTGAAAATCACTAACACGCCTACCAGTCACGCTCTCTACGATGGCTTCTCTATGGGCCTAACCTTTGCCGGCGTTGACGCGGCATACAACAACCACGCTGCTCCTCACTCGAGGCCATTCCGGGACTTCATCGAGTATTTGCAGAATATCGAAAGCGATACTTCTGACGCATTTTGGGAGAATCAGCTCAAGGAGCTAGAGACAGCCCCATTCCCACAACCGCCCACCGGCCATCACTGCCAGGCAGACAACACGGTGTCATACGCCATCCCCTTCACCGTTGAACGCAAAGCCGGTGTCACTATTGCGACAATTCTCAAGGCCGCTTGGTCCATTGCAATCTCTAGACTGTCGGACTCACCCGATGTTGTGTTTGGGGTTACGCAATTCGGTCGTGATCTCGATCTAGACGACATTGACACCATGAATGGCCCCACAATCACAACTGTGCCGGTACGCATCAGGGTTGACCCGCAGGCTACTGTCAAGGAATTCCTCGCCGGTGTGCAGAACCAGGGAATTGACATGATTCCTTTCTCTCACGCTGGTTTGCAGAACATCAAGAAGATCAGCGATGCAACCCGCGCCAGCTGTGACTTTCAAAATTTGCTGGTCATCCAGCCCGCCGAGGAAGAAGAAGAGTCAGCTCTGTTCAAGAAGCATGAAAATGCTACAACTTCCAATTATCTCAGTGGTTTCGGTCTCGTCGTCGAGTGTGCTCTTGGTGCTGGCGAGGTCACTTTCTCTGCACACCACGACTCTACGGTGATCACAGCGCCACAAGTCGAACGATTGCTGCACCAGTTCGAGCACTTGCTTAACCAACTACAAGTTCAGACTGGAAAAATCAACAACGTCGACATGTTTTCTGCTGCAGATCGGGCAGATATCTCTGCTTGGAATAGCAACTACCCCAAAGTGATCCAGAAGACGATGTCCGATATCATCATGCAGCAAGCAGCAAATACGCCATCAGCTCCTGCAATTGCCTCTAGGGCAGTGAATCTGACCTACAAGGAGATGGGTGAGCTGACGAATCATCTTGCTCATCAACTCCAGTCTCTTGGCGTAGGCCCTGAGAAGATTGTGCCAATTTGTCTTGAGAGAAGCCCCGAGGCAATCTTGTCAATGATTGCAATTCAGAAGGCTGGAGGAGCTTTTGTTCCCCTCAACCCGACTGATCCAACTGACCGATTGCTTGACTTGATTGATCAGGTCGAGGCCAACGTTGTCATATTTTCTGAGCAAACCAGACACCTTACATCTAGCCTGGCTGTCAGCGGAGTCTCGCCGGTTGTTCTCCCCGAGAACATTACTGGATGGGGTCCTCTGAGGTCCAGTCCTGTCCTATCGGGCGCAAACTCTTCGAACCTTGCATATGCACTATTCACGTCTGGCTCGACTGGTCGACCTAAAGCTGTCATGATCCACCATCAATCTGTGACCTCGAGTACATATGGCCACGGTGTTGAGATGGGCTTTGCCGACTACCCACGACGCACGCTACAGTTTGCAACTTACACATTTGATGCCTGCATCGCCGAGATCTTTACTGCGCTTCATTTCGGCGGTTGCATCTGCATTCCCACGGAGCATGAACGCATGAACAACCTTGCCAAGTTTATCCGCGACTTCAAGTGCGATTGGGCTTTCTTCACACCCTCGTTTGTCAGACTCCTGAAGCCCGACGAAATTCCCTGCTTGAAGACTATCGTCCTTGGAGGAGAAGCCCTAAACCAGGAATGTGTCGATATCTGGGGTGACAAGGCTCACCTGATGAATGGCTACGGCCCCACAGAGACGTGTGTATTCACTGTGACGCGAACAGTCCCCGGTCCAAAGAGCTCGAAGAAAGCTCACCCAGCAGCGACGATTGGTCATCCAGTCAGTTCAATTGGTTGGGTCGTTGACCCCAACAATTACAATACGCTCACCCCGGTCGGCTGTCCCGGCGAGCTACTGATCCAAGGCCCAAACGTTGCCAGAGGCTATCTCAAGAACCCAGAAAAAACCGCCGAGTCATTTATCTCGAACCCCAAGTGGCTGCGGGCCTTTGGTCATACCAAGTCTGAGCTCTTGTACCGAACTGGTGATCTCGTTCGACAAGACGTGGAGACTGGAATGTTGACATACCTTGGAAGAATCGATGGCCAAGTAAAGATCAATGGCCAGCGATTGGAGCTTGGTGAGATTGAGACTCGACTTAAGGCGCAGGGAGCCAACGTCGAGTCGTCTGTCGTGCTTGCTGGCAAGACCAAGGCGGACAAGAAGCAAACACTAGCCGCATTCGTCGAGTTCATCGATGCCCCCGGCAAGAATCACAGTGTCATGATGGAAATGAATGAGTCCATGCGATCAAGAATGAAGGAACTAGAGAGCTCCATGCGTGCCTCTATGCCCAAGTATATGGTTCCATCGCTATGGATCCCGGTCAACCACATGCCGATTATGGCCGCTAGTGGCAAGACCGACCGCAAGACGCTCATTTCCCTCTTCAAGAACATGGATTATGACCAAGTTGCCATGTATACTCTCGAGGCTGGCGAGGGGGTTACCGAGGTTCGCGAAGCCGAGACCGATATGGAAAAGACCATCCTGGAGCTTGTTGCCCGTACCCTTGGTCGCGATCCGTCAACAATCCATGTCAACGACAGTTTTCTTCGAGTCGGCGGTGACAGTATCTCTGCTATTTCGTTGGTGTCCAATGCTCGTGCACTAGGCATTACACTCTCGACCGAACAGATCTTCCGTCAGCCTCGTCTCTACGATATGGCGGCTAATGCCGCGAAGGAAGGACAAGTTGCTGCTGAAAGCGTGAAAGTCATTGAACCCTACTCCCTTCTACCTGAGGGAAAGAAGTCAGAGCTCTTGGCCCTGATCAAGCAGGAATACGGCATCAAAGAACATACCATTGCCGATATCCTACCTCCAACGCCGCTGCAGGAGGGTCTCATTACTCTTACTCTCAAGGACAAAGAAGCGTACGTTCTTCGGGAGATCTACCGTTTGCCATCGAAATTGGACATTCCCCGTTTCAAAGCTGCTTGGGAGGCGGTAGTCAGGGACGCTGCGGCCCTGCGCACGAGACTCGTCAACCTTGCCGATCATGGATGTTATCAGGTCGTTATGGAGCAGTCTATCGAGTGGCATACGCCTCAACGGGTGCAAGAGTACATCAACTCTGATAAGGAGGAGCCTTTTGGCTACGGCGTACCACTCGCTCGCTTTGCTCTGATCGAGACTGACTACACTGGATGCTACTTTGTGTGGTCCATCCACCACGCTCTCTACGATGGCTGGAGTAAAGGACTCATCATGCGACAGGTCGAGGAGGCATATCATAGCTCCTCTCCTCAACCTACAGCGACCAAGACACCCCCTTTCAACCGCTTCATTGACTTCCTCCAAAAGACCGACCCTTCCGAAACCAAGGACTTCTGGAAAGCCCAGTTTGCTGGTATGGAGGCTCAGTCTTATCCGCGACTACCATCCGCCGCCTTTGCTCCAGTTCTTGACAGCACTTTGACCATCAACCTTCCACTTGTGCGAAAGACTGGATCCTCTTTCACCACCGGAACGATTCTCAAGGCTGCTTGGGGATTGGTATTGGGTCGGTACACTGGATCAGCCGATGCTTTGTTTGGCTGCATCCAAGCTGGTCGAAATGTACCAATCGACGGCATCTCTGATATGATTGGACCGACTATCACGACAGTACCACTCCGTATCAAACTTGAGGGCGAGCTCACTATTGCCAAGTTCCTGCAAGCTGTTCAAGATCAGTCAACGGATATGATCAAGTACGAACACAGTGGTCTGCAGAATATTGCCAAGATGAGCAACGAGTGCCGGGAAGCCTGCGCTTTCACAAACATCATGGTCATTCAGCCGGGTAACCAACATGAAGCGGACTTCGTTGGTGCCCAGAGGATCGAAGATCAGGACAAGGGCTTCCTCCGTTTCGGCATGGGCTTGGAGTGTACTTTGAGGTCGAACCTCATTGAGATTACTGGAGGTTATGACCAGCGACTCATGTCAGAGGCTCAGATGCGCCGTCTCCTCAATCAATTCAAGGCTGCAATCTGCCATCTCAACGACGAGCCTCAGAATATTGTCAGCGAACTCAGCTTGGTCAGTTCCGAAGACATGGCTGAAATGGCTGGTATGAACGAAAACATACCGGATGATATCCATGAATGTACCCATGATGTGATTCATCAAACAGCGCAAGAGCGCTCGGATGCCATGGCTGTGAACGCATGGGACGTTGACTTCAAGTACTTTGAACTGGACCAATTGTCGACCAAGCTCGCAAACCACCTCCGATCCTACGGTGTTGGTCCCGAGACTATCGTGCCGCTCTGCTTTGAGAAGAGCGGTTGGGCTATCGTTGCCATGCTGGGTGTCATGAAAGCTGGTGCTGCTTTCGTCTTCCTGGATCCCGCTTACCCAATGGCTCGTTTGGATGAGATTGTGTCCCAAGTTGAAGCCAAGATTGTCCTTACTTCGCTGGATCAGGCGCCCATCTGGAAGACATCCAAGATCCCCGTCGATGTCGTTGACAATGTCTCCATTGAGTCACTCCCCTCTGTTCCGTACCGCGCCGATACCGGCGTCACGCCTTCGAACGCGTTGTACCTCATCTTCACCTCTGGTAGCACAGGCAAACCCAAGGGATGTGTCATTGAGCACCACTCATTCCTTACATGTGCCAGAGCCCAAGCAGCCCGCTCAAAGATGACTCCATCGAGCAGAATTCTTCAAGGCGCTTCTTACAGTTTCGATGTCTCCATTATGGAAATTCTAACTGCCTTGACGGTTGGTGCTTGTGTCTGCGTGCCAAACGAACGGATCAAGAAGCGAAGCGTTGTCGATGTCATCAATGACTTCCGTATCACTTGGGCATTCCTGACACCCTCTGTGGTCAAGTTCATCAAACCTTCCGACATCCCTCACCTCAAGACTCTCATTTTGGGTGGTGAGGCGCTCACCACGCAGAACATTCAAACCTGGGCAGGACATGTCAACCTAAACAATGGTTATGGACCCACGGAATGCACCATTGCGGCTACTGCCAACACAATCACGGATCCTAATGAAGACCCCGCCAACATTGGCAAAGCTCTGGGCGGAATTTGCTGGATTACGGAAGCGGATGATCACAACAAGCTTGCCCCCTTGGGCACGATCGGAGAAGTTAGTTCTCGATTTTCTTGCAGGCACTGTCGAAATGCTAACATGCCACAGCTTCTCATCGAAGGCAACATCGTTGCTCGTGGATACCTGAACAACCCTGAGAAGACGAACGAAGTCTTTATCGAAAACCCCACGTGGGCTCGCTCCTCTAGTGGCAAGGCCAGAAGATTCTACAAGACTGGTGACCTTGCCTACTTCAACACGGACGGGTCAATCATGTTCATGGGTCGCAAGGATACGCAGGTCAAGGTCCGTGGTCAAAGAATGGAACTGGGCGAGATTGAGACGCATCTCACGCTCAACAAGAACATTCAGCACGCCATGGTCATGTATCCCAAGACTGGTCCTTGCAAGCGGCAGCTAGTAGGACTTGTCTCTATTGCAAAGCTTGGCGCTACGACCAACTCCAACGCGGCTGTGGAACTTATTAGCTCTGATGACACCGCCACTGCATCAGCAGAGCTGGGAGACATAAGCAGGAAGCTATCGGCTCTAGTCCCGTCGTACATGGTTCCATCTGTGTGGATCATTGTACAGAGCTTCCCTCTGTTGGTTTCGGGCAAGCTGAACCGCAAGAGGGTTGAACAATGGTTGACGTCAATGGATCAAGCCACTCACCAAAAGATCTGCGGTATTGGTGAGACTATCCGTGTTCAGGCACCCTCAAACGAGGTCGAGGAGCAGATCCACCAAGTTTGGGTTGCGGTTCTTAAGCTCCCTGCCGAAGAAATTGGTGTCATGCAAGACTTTGCAACCCTCGGTGGTGACAGTATTCTTGGAATGCAGGTTGTCTCCAAGCTTCGTGCCTTGGGATACCAGATCACAATGACAGATGTGGCCAATGGTCGTACCATCACTCAGCTGGCTTCACGCATTGCCCGAGGAGGAAGGGTTGCCGTCGCCCCAGCCGCGCCAGTGGTTGACGTCGAGAATGAGCTCTTTGACTTGACGCCAATCCAGCAGTACTACGCAAACTTTACGCTCAAGGACGACTACCTCTCGAAGCAAACCAACAAGAGATTCAACCACACTTTCCGCATGGGAATCAAGACGCCGATCAAGGGCGCCTCGGTCAAGAAGTCCATGGAAGCGCTTATCAAGCGACACGCTATGCTTCGTGCTCGCTTCCAAAAGGACGATTCGGCTGCCTGTGGCTGGAAACAGTACATCTCCTCTGAGGTTGAGACTTCCTATCAATTTACTGCCTGGGAGAATGTCGACCTTGAGGAGGTCTTGCCCATCATTGAGCAGAACCGCACCAGCCTCGATATTGAGAATGGTCCTCTTGTGGCTGTTGACTTTGTGACCAACGGTGACGAGCAGCTATTCTACATTGTGGCTCACCATCTGGTTGTGGACCTTGTGTCTTGGAACAACATTCTCCGGGATCTCGAGGACCACATGAGCACTGGTCATTTCGTGGCCGAGAAGCCTTACCCGTTCATGGCCTGGGCAAAGCAGGAGAAGGACTATGCACTCAAAAACTTCTCTCCCGAGAAGGCACTCCCATTGCGGATTCCCAAAGCTGACTTTAGCTACTGGGGAATGGAGGATCGCGTCAACATTATTCGCGACGTTGCCCGCCATGAGATTGTCCTGACGGAGCGAGACACTGCATCGCTCTTGACAAACTGTCCCAAAGCTTATGGTGCTGAGCCAATGGATTTCCTGTGCTCGGCCCTCTCACATTCATTCAACTATGTCTTCCGTGACCGCGCGGCGCCAGCCATCTTCCGGTATAGCCACGGTCGCGAGCAGATTGGCAATGCTGACCCGAGCGGTACTGTCGGATGGTTCACCACTCTTTCGCCCATCCACGTCCCAATCAACAATAAGGATGACAGTATCTCGGTTCTGCGACGAACTGTAGATGCCCGCAAGAAGATTCCTATGAATGGTCTCGGGTATTTCGCATCGCGCTACTTCCACCCAGCTGGTGCGAAGGCATTTGCCGGACAGCTCGAAGACATGGAAGTATCTGTCAACTACCTCGGTGTGTCGGACAACCAACAGCGCAGCAATTCCACGTCCATTTTCGACATGGAGGGCTCGATCGAGAATGGCTTGGGTGCCGATGGACAGGAGGTCAAGGGTTTCAGCTTGTTCGCGCTCAATGCCGAGGTCAAGGGTGGGAAGCTGCACATCTACAGCGCCTGGAACAAGAACATGCGGGGACAGGATGCTATCTTGCAATGGTTCAAGACATACGAGAGGGCGCTGAAGGATGTGGCGTATAGGGCCAAGAAGAGTACCCAGTCGACAAGGAGGCACAGCAAGCAGGGCAACTCGAGCAGTACTCACCTGCGTCCTGTTGCGCCGAACCGGACTCCCAGCCGCCGCCCGCGTTCGAGGAGGTTCAATTCGCTCGAGCGCAGGCTCTCGATTCCCAGGCTGGTCTAAGAAGGAATCAATGGCCTTGCATGGCGGATTGCGGTTGTGGGGGTGACCATTGAGTTATGGTCTTTCTTGTGTCTTTCTTCTTCTTCTTCTTCTTTCTTTTGCTTCCGGGTTTGCTCAGCTTTAGCGTAGCCTGGCGTTGGGGTTCTTGGAAAATACCCGGTGTTGGGGGCAACAGCATATAGACAAAGCCTTCTTCAAGGCGCATTTCCTTATTCGTGTAGATAATTTCATTTCTGTTCAATAATTCCATTATGTTCAAGCTAACATGACTCTGACATTGAGTCTTTTTCATCTTTTACTGAATAGTGCTTAATAAACCTTTTTTTTTTTTCACTCACGCAATATTATAGCTTGTCACGCGGCTCAATCAGCGGGTATGCTTTTGTTGTTGAAGTACTTTTCTGGGGATGGGCTCCGCTTGCGGAAACCAGTTAAGTACGTATGAGGGAGGACCCTGGTCGTTTATGTCTTGTTTCTCATTTCGCGTCTTGTCCATTCAGGTCAAGCTTCTCATCAGCCTCTTTCCCCCCCTCAATCCATGAAATGAGAGCCGTTCAGCCGTTCGTTGTCGCGGCGTCCCAGTGGGAACGGTACTTCTCAAGCTAGCCACCGGGCTTGGGGGGCCTGGGGGGTAGTTCCAGAGTCGCTACGCTACGAACTTGGCCTATTGTGTACCTTGTAGTGGTGGACGACACTATCACCGACTCACCACAACCGCAAGAGGATAAGGTCAGGCTTGGCGCCACTTTGGTTCTTATTTACCGATGAGCACAATTGCTTTAAGCTTGTGCGTGTCAAAAAAATTTTGTGACGCGATCAGACATAATCAGAGCTATTTACTTCTAGTCGAGGAAGAAGGAAAAAAAAGTCTTTCAAGTGCCGAAGACCAACCCGCGAAATATCCCACCGGAACATTTTCCTTCGGGGACCTCAGCTTCAGCTTTACGCAGAGATGCGTCTGTGCTTGCGCTAACTCACACCCACAGCTCAAAGGGCCTGGGCATACTGGGCGTACTGATCTCTTGGGACATGTCATGGATGCAATTTACCGGGAACCTGGTACGCAGGCTCAGCCAGCCAGCCAGACAGACATGGGATTTCATCGGACACAGCGAAAATAGCTATAGAGGGAAATGGACATTCCGATCTAGGATTCAATAATACCCACGTACATGGTCATGGATCAAAGTTGGTTGGCGAGAGGGGGAGAACAAAAAGTTTAAAATCGGAGCTACTCCGTACAAACCCTTGTTTGATTCGCACAGGCACAAAGATCCACACGGTAGCCGATAGTACGGAACTGTTGATCAGTAATTCTCCGTTTGTACACCTCCTCCAGCATAATATACGTTAGATCAGTACATGCCCCATATTTCTTTGCTCTGGTGTGTCTGGTATCTTCCCTTATCCTTTCTATGGTACGATACGGCTGATAGAAATTTCTAGCAACTGGTGTGGGCACCGGGCGAAGAACCTCTATAACAGCCAGTATTGAGCAGCACAAAATATATGGGAGAGTACGTGGTAAATCACTGGATCCAAATATGGGGCTTGGTACCGATCTAACGTTTATAATGCTGGAGGAGGTGTAGCTAGCACCACATGTAACACTCCAGCGACTCCATATCGGCAATTTTATTGTGCGGTTGTGGGAAGTCGGGATCGGCGGGAACAGTGGATAGATCACACCCTTGACAAGCCCGACCGTCCTTTTGGGTCGGTGTAGATCGGATCTGAGCGAGGAAGGTCCACGGAGAGGTCTGAGATCTTGAGATTCTTAGAGAGGGGGGAGGGGGGCAGTCTTCCCAACTCTTTGTTTCCATTGTCGCGGCTCCACGTCCGCTATACCCGCGACTCAGCGTTGGAGTTTCCATTTGCTAATGGCGCTGGAGATCTTCAGGAGCGATCGAGAACTCAAATGAAATGGACAGGCAGTATACAACCTGCAGGATGACCAACTTGCCAGCAGTCCTGGGTTTGCCCTGGTGCCTGGTGCTCAATGATCTGATGTGCAGGGCCTGTCTCGGATCGATCCAAAAATCAAGTTCATGGGCTCGCAACCTAGGGTGAACTTAATCCAAACAATGCCACCTACCCAATGGCGTTGATAGTCACATCGCTTAACACAAAGCCACAGTTACAGGGCTGAAGTTCTCAAACAGGCCATGCGCAATAGAGTCTTCTAAGAGGTTCCTGTCATGAGCCATTCTTGTGATGATGCTCATCTTACCGTTTGAACTAGAAGGCATCATGAACCGGCCGTGTAGGGCATGTACCGGCTATAGTCGCTAGTTGGAAAAAGAATATGCAGGTACTTTTTTGACCTAAAAAGGTGAAAAACAAACTACTAGGACGTTTCGTCATTCCATGATTCCCACTACGGAGAACTCCTCGTCCAACCCAGCAGCCCAGCCAACGGGGTAGACATCTGCCATGGCACTAGTTGACAGACTCGAACCCCAAGCGGTCTTTGCCCTGTCAATAGCAGCGCGATCGACCATGTCTCTTGCCCATCCTGGTAACAAAAGTGCAGGCATCGTAATATGGGGAGACAGGGAGGCCCGCCTTGGCCCAGGTGCGCTTGGGTCAAGCGGCTCGAACACTTCCGTCTTAGTCTTTGACTGTCAAACCTGTCAAACCTGCCTTTAAGAAAACCATGGTGATCCGTCACATTTGACCTTTCTTGGGTTTTTGCTCCTTGTCGTCTTTTCGTCCAAAACATCCAAAGGTCCATCATTCTAACAAATTTCCCCAAGGGCTGCCACTCATTATGGATCTGTACTCGTTCCCTACGCTGCCACCCAAATGGGACGCCATTGGCCGCTTCTATATTGCCTTTGGCGCGACATGGACGTTTCTCGTCCTCTGCGGCATGGGTTTTCTCGTGGCGAACCGGCGGATGCCCATCCTTAGAGTCCGCGGAATTGGACTGTCACTCACTTCCATTGCTTTCCTTCACTGCTACTGGATTCTCGCCCAGGTCGTCTACCCCATCGGCCAGTCGGTCCCCGTTATTCTGGCCTACGACATTCAGTATTTCTTCATGGGCATTTGGTTTCCGCTCGGCATTGCCCTTTTCCACGCCTCCAACACCCGCTTTCTGTACGTGGCCGAGATGCAGAAGCAATTCACTCTTTCACACTACCGGAAACGTTACACGGGCTGCAACGGCGCCTCGACATCCTGGCTCTGCCGCCTGAGGAATATGCAGTATACCACCAGGATATTGATATACATTGGATTCGGCATGATCTTTCAGGTCCTGTTGACTGTCGGCATGTGGTTTGCTTGCAAGAAATATCACCCAACCTATGGCATTCCCGGCACGGAGCTCAAGGGCGCCACCATCCCGGAGCAGCTTGTCGACCTGGGCCGCGGCTGGGAATGGTGGCCATCAGTCATGTGGCAGGTGATCTGGACATGGATGGTACGCGTTTCTCTGTCCCTCCCTCCAAGCCACAGTTTGCTGCTGCTTGTTCGTTTTATGTGATTGTGGCTGACATGGCTTTTTTTTATTTTGCAGGTCGCCCCCTACCTCATCTGGAAAGCCTGGGGAATTCGTGATACTCTGGGCTGGAGGACGCAGACTATTGCATGCTGCCTATCAAAGTAAGGATTCTTCTCACCTGGGTCTCGGCCCTCTTTTGTGGCCCCATGTCGCCCCTGGTCACATGTTTTATAGCCGAGCTGACATGCGAACTCTTTGTTACTGTGTAGTCTCCACGCGACGCCTCTATTTTTAGCCTCATCTTACGCCCCTGCATTCGCCAAGGTCAATATGTACTTTGCGCCCAGTGAATGGTGAGTTTACGATTATGCACCCTATATGATTGGATATAGGCGATGGTTGTAGAGATGTGTGTGTGTGTGTGTGTTTTGTGTCGTACAAGGACTATTAGGTCGCTGACACAATTGTGCCCGTCTTTTTAGGATTCATCTTTCCATCATGTTCTTTGAGATCTTTACCGTCTTTGTCCCTTGCTACATTGTCGTCCGCCAAAAGATTCAGAGCAGGAGAGCCGCCGACGCCAACACCAGGTGGGAGAACTCGTCTCAAATGACACAGTCGACGCTGGTGGGCTCGGTGGTGGATCCCAACGAGTGGAAGAGCATGTCGCAGCTGGAAAAGGGCGAGTCGCACCTCACTTCGACAACAATCAACAACCGGGACAGCAGCGGCAGCGATTGCCTGCTCACCATGCAGGCTCTCGACCGTGTGCTGGTCGACAATCCGGTTGCTCTTCAGGAGTTTTCGGCTCTCCGCGACTTTTCGGGTGAAAACATTGCCTTCTTGACCAGACTTGCACGCTGGAAGGCTTCGTGGACCCAGCTCCATGCGGCCGCCTGCACCGAAGATGAACTCCGCGAGGCTTTCACCCATGCCCTGGCCATTTACACGGATCTCATTAGCCCGCGCGATGCCGAGTTCCCCGTTAATCTGTCATCACAAGAGCTGCGGGATCTCGAGGCCGTCTTTGAGGGTCCGGCCCGCATCATCTGTGGCGAGGCCCGGGTCAACACGGCATTGCCATTCGAGAGTGCAAGGACTGGCCCCCCTTCGTCGCCAATGGACCGCGCCGTCAGCCGGGACAGCAAGGACACGTCGTCTGGTTCGTCCAACAACGATGCACGCATCGACTTTGGCGAAATGGTCGACCGGGTACGGTACATGGGCGAGATCTCCGACGGCTTCACCCCGCGCGTCTTTGACGTGGCTGAGCGCAATGTCAAGTACCTGGTGCTGACCAACACGTGGCCCAAGTTTGTCCACGAGACACAGCGACGGGAGTCGTTTGAGAGTGAGCGCTCTGCTGCCACTGATGTCTCGGAGACGTCGCTAGTCGCCCGAGTCGCCGACAAGGTGCGGTCTTTCCTGTAATGCGAGCGCAGATAACCTACAATAAATCTGCGTCCATTGTATGGAGTGACTTAAAGCTTTTTGGGGGGATGATGACCGTTACACTACCGCCACTACGGCTTTCTTGACCCAACAAAGGACACGTAAAATTTAATCCTCTTCTTCATGTTATGATACCCATGCGCTACGACAAATAGCTTCTTCACAATAAATAATCTTCTACTTCCCCCCACTTGAAATGGCTACTTGCTCATGTCCAGTCCCTATAAAAGTGTGAGATTTCATTTTGGTGTGTGATAATGAAAACTTTCTTCAATGTGGGAGCTTCAATTCATCCCTTGGAGCTGCCCGTGGCTATGACCAACGTCTGCCCTCATCTACTCCATGCACCGCGCAACATACTCCAGTCCCGCCTTTACTGCAGCATCGACATTCTGCCCATGCAACATCCCCTCACGCGGCAAGCCAACCCCAGTGGTCGTCTTCTCGCCGCCGTCCGTGTTGCTTCCATCATCATCGACCAACAGCCCCGACGCGCGGAGAATCTGTTCCGGCGCCACCGTCGCGCGACCAGCCTTGAAGACAAACTTGGTCACCAGCACGGCATACACCTTTCTCCTGAGGCCGTCATCGGCGGCAGAGAGCAGGGCCTGGGGACCACCCAGCACGTCAATCTCAAACGGCAGCTTGGCGCGAGGCTTTAAAAAGTAGGTCACAACATAAAAGGAACGGTCCGTCCATGCCAGGACGCGCGACGAGACGTCATACGCCGCGTAAGGGCGCACCTCGCGGAGGAAGCGGCACTGGGCGCCCGCGAGGATAAAGTTGGCGGGTCCCAGCCCCGCGAGCCCGTCGCTCAGCAGGTCGGCCAGCAGCCGGGTGCGGCCAATATCGGCGTCGGCGAAAAAGGTGCTGTTGGACTTGTGCACGTTAATGTCCAGATCGGCAGCGACGGCGCGCGACGTGGTGACCTGGTGCCGAAACAGGCGGGGCGACGCGGCCAGGGACGTGAGAGCGGGCGCCGTTGCAAAGGGGACGCCCGGCGGTGTCACGGCGGCGATCTTTGCCTTGACGGCCCGGTGCCAGGGTGGGAGTCGAGGCTTCAGCAGCCGGAGGACGGCGGGGAGGATCCTCAGGGTTGACACAAAGGGTAGGGCCTTATAGTTGGCGGCTGCGATGCCAAAGAGGAGTCCTAGACCGAGCAGAGAGCCGTAGGATAGGGCTTGAAAGCCATTGATGAGCCGGTCAATCATGTTGTCTCTGCTCCAGTTGACCTCTATTAATCAAGGAACCTCTTTCAAGCTTGGAGGGAAGAATTTTGACTCCTTTTGATTATATATGGTCTACTGTAGAGTATATAGTTGAAGACTGGCGAGGGTTGATGAGTTAATAAATGGAAAATATCTAAATGTCGAGGCGGACATAAGAGTGGGCAGGAGAGGAAAAATTAAAAGAAAAACCAAAGTCGACAATCAGTTTTCTTTTCGAAGAAACCTGCCTACTTGGCAATCTACATATGCTCAGAATCCTTGGGATGCTCTTTGGCGTTGCTGCAACCAGCTGACCCACAATCCTTCGGCACGCGATTTTGAATGGCGTCGCATTCTCTATATAAACTTTGACTGGAATCAGAGCTCGTAGAAAGCAGGTTTCTGTTTCAATCTTAAAGAGCCATTTCCCAAAATAGATTTTCTGCAGATGTATGTAACAAAGTAAGCACTCTATTCTTCTGGGCTTGGTCGCGTTCCGATCGTCAGGGCCGATGCCTATTGAAGCTCACCACCAACCGTACAGTAAAAAGAGTCGGCCGTCTTTGCGCAGTCCGAGTGCACTAGACATTAAATATTGTTACAGTACTAGAGCTGGCTGGATATGTATCTAATGTTAGCTACTGCCAGAGAAAACCAAAACTTGTCGCGCTTAGTGGATGACAAGTTGACCAGATGCTCTCTTGAACAATAGTAAGCTCAGCTCGGGGCCTGGCAATAGTGAGGCGGCCGACCGGAGCCACCCACAAATTTAGTGGGTGCCAGTGCCTAAAAAGGAAATGGACATGGAACACAATTGGCTGCCGAGTGGCCAAGCCACGTGCGTACTATCCCAATTGCTTGTCCTTGCTGCCATCTGTGGCAATTGTACTGTAGTTGTATGGGGTAAAAGTGGCCATTGTTTGACGTAGACTTACTTTTCCTACGTGTGCATGGTCGACTTCTATACCGAATGCGTCTCCGGGCGGTTTTGCTGCTCACCGGACCAGTGATCACCACAGCTGCTGAAGACGTCCGAATCTGGAGAGAGTCTTCCCTGTAAGCATTATCTGTGCTCGGTCGCCTCACTTTTATCGACGTTGGTAACCAGATCGCGAGACTATTCTGTGTTTGCTAGACAGTAAGCATGGATACCTTTGGGCTTTATCCTGCTCTAGCAAAAGCCATTGTGGCAACCCGTCTTGTCTATGAGAACGTGCTGATCATGGCTTGCGGCTTGCTGCTTCTCAAAGGGGAGAAGTATTGCGCGTTCAGGATACGGGGTTCTTTCTCAGAATTACTATCGCCTTGAACTGAAAACTGGACTGAACCACGGTGGTTTGGTCGACAAAAAGAGGGCGTTGCCGTCTCTTCCACATTAATTTGCCTTGCATTCTCCTCAGTCACACAACATCATCATCATCACCATCACCAAGTCCAGAAGGTTGCGAAAGCATTACCTCGTTTTCCTTTTGTCATCATGTGGCCCATGTCGAATGCCCTCTACCCGGGCCTCAAAGATCCCGCGGAGCAGCAGCGCCCAGGAACCTCTGATACCAACCAGAGTTGGTTCACCTATGGCACCCGTCGCTACAGTGCCTCCAACTACTCTCGAAAGGCCTGGTCGACTCGACGAAGCGCACGCACCGGTCGAACGGGCGAGACGGAGGGAGGAGAGGACCTGCGAGACCTGCTGCGACAGAGCCAAAAGGCACTGACCAACCTTCGCGGCAATGAAGAGGCAGATATTGGTACGCAAGGATTCCCTGATGCAGACTCGGATGTGATCCCTTTCAACGATCCATCATGGAAGAAGCCTCTATGGCGAAGCCTGTCCAAGAGGACCAATGCCACCGGGGCTACCAGCGCCAGCGTTGTGACTGGAGAGTCCTCCCAGCCACCGAGTGCTGAGCCAGCAGTCGCGAGCTCATCCGGCCATCACCATCGCAGGCGATCATCCTCGAGACATCCCCCACCTCCCGCACGCGCAGTGCGTAGCAAGCGCATCCCCAGCGTCGCGTCTCGCATGGACCCCGACGACGGCGAGCCGGACCCGGTCCCTGCCTATCAGGAAGTCGAGGTTGGTCGAGCAGTTGTGCCCACTCTAGCCACCAAAAGCCAGGCGGCTCCCACACAGAGGTACAGTACGGTCAACAGTGGTTTGAGAAATGACTTTGAGAACAGTCTGTCCCGCCTGGACCTGATCTCAAGCCCCTCCATCAGCACCATGAGCTTCACCGGCTTGGGTAACAATGGTGCTGGAATTGGCTTTGCCAGGGTGGACTATGATGCTCAAGTTGAGCAAGCCCGTCACACTCAGGACAGCCAGAGTCCCCAGGCCGTCACCTTTTCCAACAATCCCTTTTCTAACAACCCATTTCACGCCCGAGCAAACGAGCGAGAACCCGTCAGTCCGCTCAGCCCCAACAGAAACTCTATATACCGCAACTCGTACCGAAATTCGGGGGCGTTCGGCCAGCCGAGAGTCGTGACATTTTCCAACTTTGACGAGGTGGCCATCACCAGCAGCGCCGACTCGCGGTCCATGACGGCCCCGACCGTCGACACGTGGGATCGGCTCGAGGGGGCTTCGGAGAAGCCCACGGCCCCTGCCGAGGATGCGCTGCCGCCGCCGCCAAACACGACGTACCTCTACGGCCTCCCTCTGGCGGCCGTCATCTTTGCCCTGTCCCTGGCCGTCTTCCTGGTGGCCATGGACGTCAACGTCATCGCCACGGCCGTCCCGCACATCACGGCCGAGTTCTCCAGCCTCGACGACGTGGGCTGGTACGGCAGCGCCTTTCTCATGACCACGTGCGCGTTCCAGGTCCTGTTTGGCCGCATCTACACCATCTTCCCGGCCAAGCTGACGTTTCTGGGCGCCATTGCCATCTTCATGATCGGGTCCGTGCTGGCGGCCGTGGCGCCCAACTCGACCGTCTTCATCGTGGGGCGCGCCGTGCAGGGCATGGGCACGAGCGGCATCCTGTCGGGCGGCCTCATCATCATCTCCCAGGTCGTGCCTCTGCAGATGCGCTCCATCCTGGGCGGCGTGATTGGCGCCATGGAGGGCGTGGCCATGATCTCGGCGCCCATCATCGGTGGTACGCTCACCGACAAGCTCAACTGGCGCTGGTGTTTCTACATCAACCTCCCCATTGGCGGGTTTGTCCTGGTTGCCGTGTTCTTCTTCCTGCGCATCCCCGAGCAGAATCGCCCGCAGCAAGCCGTCAAGCGTACGTGGGCCCAGACGGCTCGTGATCTTGACCTGATTGGTGCCGCGCTCATCATGCCGCCCATTGTTTGCATCCTGCTCGCCCTTCAATACGGTGGTAAGTTGTGTCCCCAAGATTTCTCAATTGTCATTTCGCGTAACTCATTCTATTTTCTTACAGGCTCAAAATATGCTTGGGATGACATGGGTGTGATTTTGCTCTTTGTCCTAGGTTTTACCTTGTTCCTTGTCTTTGCCTATTCGCAGCATGTTAACGCAGATACGGCCATGATTCCCTTTCGAATCATTAAGCAACGTTCTATCCTTGCAGGTTTCTGGTACATTTTGTGTACCGCGTCGGCCCTGGTTGTCATGACCTACTTTGTGAGTCTAGAGGGGTTTGCCCTAAGTACAATGATGAAACTTGAATGCTAACCGGATGTTATAGCTTCCTCTGTGGTTCCAGCTCGTCCTCAACGCAACGTCTACGCAATCCGGTCTTCGTCTGTTGCCGGTGCTCATCGGTGTCATTGTCTCTGTTCTTCTCAGTGGTGCGCTCGTTTCTGGTCTCGGTTATTACACTCCTTTTATGATTCTCGGATCGATTCTCATGTCTGTCGGGATCGGCTTGATGTCGTCAATCTATCCCGACACGTCTAACACGCTTCTTATCATATTCCCTGCCATCTTCGGAGCAGGTGTAGGTATAGGTTTCCAGCAGCCCCTCATTGGAGCTCAGGCAGTCTTGTCCAAAGAGTAAGCAAACGGTCATTTTCTTTTCTTCACGAGACATTCAGAGTTCTAATTCGTGGTTGCCAAACAGAGACATTCCCATTGGAACATCAATCATTGTATTTGGCCAGACCATTGGCTCCGCAATTGTGCTCTCGGTAGGCGAGTCCGTCTTCCAGAACCAGCTCAAGAACAACATCGAGTCGTACCTGGGCATCGTGGTCAAGGACGCGCACAGCCTCATGACCGAGGGCACGGCACAGATTGAGGCGACCCTATCGCCGGAACAGCTGCCCGTCCTGCGCGATGCCGTGAGCAAGTCGCTGACCCAGACTTTTTACGTGGCCCTGGCCATGGCGGGCCTGTCCATGATTGGGTCCCTTGCCATGGAGTGGAAGTCGGTCAAGAAGATTGCCAAGCAACAAGAGGCCGAAGAGGCGGCGGCGGCGGCGACGGCGGCTGAAGCTACTGCGGCATCGCAAGGTAAGTCGCAGGGTGAGAAGATGGTTTAAAAATATGAGCAAGGCCGGAGCAAAGGATGGATCGGGGAAATGAGCAAAGTGTGTCTTGTCATTAATGTCTTATGGATGTTCGGAGTTGGGGGGATGCGGGTACTCTTCTATTCTTCACAATCTTGTATAACTTCCTATTTCTTTTTTCCTTTTTTCTTATTACATGGAGACGAGGAGCAGTCCGAGGGTCGAAAACAATAATATTCATTTGTCTGTGTATTTGAATTTGGTTTCATTATCTGTTCGCATTAGACTTTGAGGAGAAACAAATCAAAGATGGAAAATGTTGAGATAAAAGGCCAAACACCTTTTTGGCGTCTTTCCCGGCATTTGAGAGATGTATTTTGGGCAGGTGTCACTGGTAGAAATAGAAGCCCCCTGCGAACGTCGATTGGTGGTCCCCTGGCACCACTCGCTTAGAGTTTTTAGGCCACTGAATACCCCTGAAGATTGAGTCAGGTTCGGGCCAAGACCCCTGAATGGTACCTACGTCACTGGTTCCAAGTTCCAAGAGATCCCTGAATTGGCAATAGGTACGGACAAGTTAAAGATGCTCCTGCTGCTCGACTCGACATGTGCTTTTAATGTCCTGGAGGTTCTTGGAAATCTTTAGCAAATTTCAGAATAAATACTCTCAGTCATACAAGAAGCAAGAACATTTTACTGTCTGAATACACAGCTCAAAACTCGGCGGGCCTTTGGTGCATTCTCTCAGCGCAGACATTGTCAATTGGCCCGGGGCTCCTGGTGCCCAGAGCCCGCTATACAAGATACGGCCCTAGCGAGTCCAAACAAAGACAAAAGAACAACAAATGTTCGTCCCAACTTTAATCCTCTCCACAACAGCCCTCGCGGCTCTCGCGTCGGCACGGGGCACCATTGTGGTAACCGTGGGACCCACGATCCCGACCGACGCGCCCGAGTTTGTGCGCGAGGACCTGTTCACGTCGGCCGTGCTCAACTCGACCAACACGTACCGCACCCAACACAATGCAACCGGCGTGACCTGGAACGCGACGCTCGAGGACTATGCCTCGGACTACCTCAACGCGTCCGACTGCGCGTTTGCCCACAGCGGCGGCCCCTATGGCGAAAACTTGGCCCTGGGCTGCTCCAATGCCACGTCGTGCGTCGAGGCCTGGGGCGACGAGCGCAAGAGTTATGATTTTGGCGATCCCCAGTTCTCCGAGGACACGGGGCATTTCACCCAGCTCGTCTGGAAGAATACCACGGATGTGGGCTGCAGTCGCAAGCTGTGTGGTGATTCCGGCTGGTATCTGGCCTGCGAGTACTGGCCCCGCGGCAATGTCGAGGGTCAGTATAGCGAGGAGGTCAGTGCCGAGGAGGGAAGTGATGCCACGAGATATAGGCCGCAAGTGGTTGCTATCGTCGCTGCCATTTTCGCCTTGCTGTCGGTATTATGATCATGAGTGATAGAGAGCGAATTACCACTGCTTTTTGGGTATGGCCAGGCGTTGGTTTTGGATACCATGTTGCGCCAAAGGCTCCCAAGCCATGGCCACGATTTTGCATGCACGCTCAGCGTGCTGGGACAATGCATCAACGAATATGTATGATTATCTTGACGTAGAATTCAATATTTATTAAGAACTATTCATTATATCATGGCGGCGTGCATTATTCGTTTATGCAGTAAACTTGCCCTCGTACATCTTGTACCTCTTGCTCGAAGTAGAGGAGGAACTAGACTGGGTCACATTGCCGACCACCGTTCCGTTCTCGTTCTCGTACTCGGCCCACGCGCTGGCAACCGACCACACGGCAACGCTCACCTCGGCCCCGGCGGGCAGGTCCCGAGTGGCGACGCTGGCGCTGGTAAGGGGCTGCGTCGGGTAGAAGAGCACGGTGCTGGCATGTACACCGCCGTCGACAAAGAACTCGGCAATGCTGCGGTCGATGAATGCCTGCACGCTCCAGGACGCCAGGGTCTTGCCGGTTCCATCGCTGTAGACGTCGGCAACGGAGAACTTGTCCGTGAAGAAGACATTGTCAAAGCCGCGAATAAGGCCGCGGTCCACGAAAAAGGGCGTGTCACCGCTAAAGAAGAATCCGGAGCGAAGTGCCTCGCCTGAAGCCGGAGACGTAAAAGTGATGTTGAGCGTCGAGTACGACGTCAGCTGCGTCGTGTTTAGTCCCGTCACGTTGGCCTCAATGTACAGCGCGTTGGACGAGACGTCCGAGTAATCGACCGTCACGGTGCCGTTGCCAATGGTGGACTCATTCAGCGGTGCGTCCAAGACGGGGGTCGGGTCGTAGAGCTCGTTGATGACCACCCAGCCTATGCGCGTCGCGTTGGTGAGGTAGTTGGCCCGCGGCAGAGTCATGGCACTTCGCCAGTTCTCGAGATTGCCGGTCGGGACCGTCTGGGCGTACTGCCAGTTGGAGGCCCAACCCAGGTTGACTGCATTCTCGTCATCAGGCAGGCCGTAAAAGTACTGCGCAGCATAGTTGTCCTTGGCAAAATCGGTCAGGCGCGTGGCATCATCAAGGGTTGTAAAGTGCGTTCCGTTGAAGTCGCCAGGGAAATACTCGGTGATGGATCCTCCAAGAGGCGCGCCAGGCTGGACCGAAATGGTCATGACGTACTTGCTGTCGACAATATTGTAGTCCTCGTCCCTCACGGGCATCTTGACGAGGTTGGGACACTCGTACTGGGTGCCCAGCAGGCCGTGGTGCGAAAAGTTGGAGGCGTGCGTCCAGTTCTTCAAGTCGGGGCTGGTGAAGATGCCCACGACGAATTCTTGCGACCACGCCACGACTGCAACCCAGTGGTCCTCGTACCAAATGACCTTGGGGTCGCGGAATTGACTGCTCGTGCTGTCAATCACCGGGTTTCCATCATAGTACTCAAAGGTGTAGCCGCCGTCGTGCGAATAGGCAATGTTCTGAGTCTGCGGCCCGGCAGAACCGTCTTCGTAGTAACGGGCCAACGTGAAGATGGCAACCACACCATTGTCCTGGTCTGGGAAGAATCCAGAAGTATTGTTCACATCGACTACTGCAGAGCCGGAGAATACATAGACCATTTCCTCTGGAGGGAAAAGGGCAATGGGCTGGTTTACCCAGTGGTACAGGTCCTCAGAGGTGGCATGTCCCCAGTGCTGATTGCCAGCGGCGTTTCCGGTGGGATTGTACTGGTAGTAAATGTGCCACGTGCCATTGGCATCGACAAACATGCCATTGGGGTCGTTCATGAAATGTTGCGGAGGCGAAAAGTGAACCTGGGGACGGAGACCGCCAGTGTAGTTGCCCTCGATTGGCACGCCCGTTGGGACGGCCGGGTTGACGTAGGTTGCAACATTTTGGCAGCTTGCTCCTCCCACGAGAAGGGCTGTATACGCCAACGATTTCAGCATGGTGGCGTGGCTGTCTGTCTATTGGCGGCTTGCCGTTCCAGGTTACCCCAAATCTGATAGACTATGGCGAGGATAACAACTACGTATAGAAATATCCTGAGTGCAGAGAGGGAGTGAGCTCTATTTATTCCCAAGTCGAGAGACACCCCCGGCCTAGGTCAAGTACACTACAACACGATGGAGCTGTGATTTCACCATTGTGGACTCTTGACGAGACCAGTTTTTTCTTGCTGGGCGTCAGGTCATGCCCAGACTTTTCTCGTGACGAAAGCGCCGAGTATTATCGCGACCGCCCAAAACTCTATTCAGCCATATCCAGGATCTCGGGCCACCCGACGAGCCAGGGTCAAGGGCTAGGTAGGTCTAGGATGGATGGGAGGGGGAGAGAAGTTGAACTCGGTCTACTCGTGCATTTTGTCTAGGGATGACACGGCAACTGTTCCTAACCAAAACAGAAGAGAGCGAGCGGGAAACGACGCGATAGTACAAACTTGCAAGTGGCATATTTGGGTAATTGCAGGCATTCGAAGCATGTACCAAATCATAGGATCAGCCAAGCCCCGAAACGGATTGGCCCATACTGGATTCAGTGTAAACCCGCTCCTCATTTGGAGCGCCCAGTCTGATTGTAATCATAACCAGTATCCACCGCGGCTACGGTACTCGTCAGACGAGCGGTAGAAGCCGGCCAGCATTCTGGAAGATGGAAAACAAAAGAGGGCGGAAGGATGACAAACATGAGTTTTTGCGGGGAAATAGCGCGCGCGGGGCTACAGTGGCTGCGGGTGGCTTTCTTTTCAGCCATTCATGACCCCGGGAATGTCCGCCCAAAACATCATCGTTATTGGGGACTATGGGCACTAATCTGGGGTCCAAATGCTCCAAACGGGCCGATTATTACTGACTCGAGGCTGCTATGGATGTGCTTTATGGTGTGATTTCCTCTCCTGAGGGCTTTTCCTGTACTCTCTAGTACTGAATTTCTTACCAAGACTGCCAAACTTGGCAATAATTCTTGTTCACGAAAAGTATTTGATAATTTTACGTCATCTACCTCGGACCGACATTCTCCCAATCAAGTGAACGAATTGGTTTCACAGTCAATACTGTCATTCTATTGAAATGTTGAAGCACATTGAGCTGATTACGATTGGCTACAACAAACGCGTATAAACGTGAAAAATCTTAGTCTACTCTACGTATTCTTACTACAGTTGAGAATCAGCATCTGCGACGACCTTGATTCACGCATTCGGCAGGTAGATGCGTTCCCAGTGTCACAGAGCGAGGCAGATTGAGCTTAAAATTTCAGGAGCCTCAACAGCCCCAATTGTAGAAAACTTGGAGGACGTGGAAAACTGCGGAAATCAAAATGTGGAGGCCCGAAGCCTGTGTCGAACGCAGGGATCGCAGAGGGCCAGGCAGCCTTTGCGACTGGTATGCGCGCTATTTCGTAAGACAACTTGCTTGGAGCTTTGTCATCTCGCTAGTAGGCGAGCCGCATTTTTGGCAATTTCATCAAATTGAACACATTATATATCCTGTGCCCCCCAGAACAGACTCTATAGGGTGAAAATCTGTATCATTTTGTAATGACATACACGATACAACAACTACAAAGTCAAAGCTTGCTGCCCTGCCGGGACATTGAACGGGCCGTTTTCTGCCAATGGAAAGTTGGGCGTTCCATCATCATTCCAAGTGAACTTTTGTATCCTTGTTGTCCGGTACAAGTCGGCCGCCGGGTTCGGCGTCGTCTGGGCGTGGTACACAACGTAGTCCTCGGAGCCGTCGGGCGACGTGGTGAAGCTGGCGTGGCCGGTGCCGTAGATGCCGGTCTTGGTGTTTTGGTGAAAGACGCAGCCTTCCGTGTGCTTTCGCCACGACTGGTATTCCATGGGGTCGTTGCCCACCAGCTCCAGCATGCCGAGGCAGTAAAAGGGCGTGTTGACTCTGGCCGCCGAGTATATCACAAAGTTTTGGCCCGTCTTTGGATTGGTGAGCTGTTGTGGGCCCTCATTGGTCGCGAGGCGGGTGGGACGACCGTATGGGACCTGCTCCCATGGTTGGTTTGGAACGCTGATCTATAATCATTCCATCAGTCTCAATTCAACTTTTGCTAAGAGCCTATTATGTATGTCACTCACCATTCGACGGTCACTAAGGTTTGACGAAATTGTCCATGGATCAGACATTGCCGTGATACACAGATTTGCAGGCCAGCCAGAATATGCATTTTCCCAGCACGAGTAGATGTGATACAATTTACCCTCGAAAGAAAAATAGGTTCCGTCAATGGCAAATTGATCATACGTGTTGAGCATGCTCTTCAGGGTGAAGTTGGCGGTCCACGGGTCAGGACCGCCGCCCTCGAGAACAAACATTCGATGGTTGACGGCAGGGCAACTGAATGGACACATAGCATCTTGCAATGGTGGTGGATTGTCTGTATCAGGCGTGGCAGTGAATATTCTATGGAGCAGAGGCCAAGTGAGTAAGAGGCTCTGGGCTATGATCAGCATGAGGTTTCACTTACATGTACCAAGTTCCTGAGATATTGTGAATCTCTGGAGCCCAGATGGAAGTAGACCATGGTTGGCCTTTATCTTCGACCGGATCAGGAGTAAAGACGGTTCTGGTCTCAATCTCATCCCAATTGTCGGTAAGGAATCGACTACGACGCAAAGTGACATTGTCGTTGGTGGTATAGGTAAACAGGTACCAATCCCCATCGTCGGCGGTATAGCGGGTGATGAAGGGGTCGCCGACGTTGACCGTCATGACGGGGTTGGAATACGTCGCATTGGTGCTCTTGTTTGTGCCCACGCTGGCGGGATCCCACGAGACGCCAGAGCTGCCCACGTTTGGGTCAAACTGCTGAGCGGCGACGCGGCCCAGCCCCCAGCTGCAGGCAAATGCAACGCATGTTCCAAAACCTCGTGTGACCAACATGATGATTCTCTAGCTGTCAGGCCCGTGTAAGAGGAGCGAGGTGTCAGAGGACTCCGGACACCAAAGCACCTTGAGCGGAAAGCCTGCGCTTTATACGAAATTTTAGGTATTCACATTTCTTACCTTGCATATGCACACAAACCGCTTGGCCATGTGCAATGACGCCCCGAGCAAAGCGTCCAAAGAGCAAGGATGGCATAGCATTTCGGTTCAAAAACTTTCCTCTCAGTCACTTGGAAGAACAAGCAGCGAGGATCATCACGGAAGCTACCCCGCGAACCCCGCAGAGACCGCCAGGGGTGAAAATGGATAACATGATCTCCCCGACTCCTCATCAAAGAGTCAATTGGTCTCTGAAGAGGCTTATAGTCAATCCTGTCCTTGTATTAGACGTCTGTGATGACGGGACAAGGATGCAAGTGCAGCCTTGCTGGAAAATCATGTGGCTGGGGAAAGAGTTGGGGTTGTTGGAGAGCGATCGCTTAGTATTCGCAACGACGGAAGCTTTGCTGCTTGGTTTTTTGTAGAGTCATGAAAAGTCTCCGATGCTATAAGCATTGCATCGATGGACTGCACGATGTTTTCTATTTATATTGGACCTGGGAAAAAAAGAGTTTCGACACGTGGGCAGTGACTCGCGAAGAGTCAATTCTTGATCACTACTCGGGTAGGTACAAGAAGCACATCGACCAAGCTTTGACGCAGCCGTGTAGTATAAATCTGTTTCCACACAATGTATAGAGTGCTCCATATGTGCGGACCGCTTCGGGCCGGAGCTATGCAGCACCCGTTAAGCTTCACCTACTTGTTGTACTGCAATGTCAATTGCGATCAAGAAATGTCAATCAGCTAAACCATAATTGGGCACCTCGTGTGCTTGTACAACAATTCAAGTGATGTGGATTTCGTGTGAAAATTCCAGTAGCAATTCATCAAGTAATACTCGGTTCTCAACATATCTCAAGACTTGCTCTAATCTACACAAAAGAAGCACCATTGGCACCAATAATCTGGCCCGATATCCAAGCACTCTCCGGGCTCGCGACAAAAGTAACAACATTGGCAATTTCGGCCGGGTCACCCAAGCGATTGAAAGGACTGGCGGCCTTGATGCCGTTAATCATGGCTTCGGGCTTGCCTTCCATGAATAAATCAGTAGCAGTAGGTCCGGGAGCCACGGCGTTGACCGTGATGCCCTTGGCGCCGAGCTCCTTGGATAGCGCGCGCGTCATTTGTTCGACGGCGCCCTTGGTCATGGCGTAGACGGCATAGACGGGCGGGACGGCGCTGCTGCGCGTGATGCCCGTCGAGATGAAGATGATGCGACCTCCTTGGGGCATGTGCGGCGCCACCTTTTGCGCGAGGAAGAGCGGCCCCTTGACGTTGAGGTCAAAGACGCGCGTGTAAATGTCCTCGGTGACGGCGGCCAGGGGCTGTAGCGGCATGATGCCGGCGTTGGGGACGAGCACGTCGATGCGGCCGAACCGCGCCACGGCCGCCTCTACCAGCTTCTCGATTTCCGGCAGCTTGGAAACGTCGGCTTGCACGGCGAGGGCCCGGTCTGCCCCAATCTCCTTCACCAGAGCATCGGCGGGTGTGCTATCCCGCGAGTAGTTGATGACGACCTTGGCGCCTTGGCTGGCTGCCTTTTGCGCAATGGCCCGCCCGATGCCCTTGGAGGCGCCTGTGATGAGTACAACCTTGTCCTGGAGAGACATGTTTGCGAATACGGCTACAGAAGAAGAACCAGCGGCGGTTTCTGTGTCTGTGGGTGAGGAGGCTGTGGAGGTATGGGCCAGGTTCTTGACGTGGGAGACGATGGATTTCATTGATCTAGGAAAGTCGTTTCTGTGGTAATTGTAAATGCTGGGTAGAGCTTGTGCAACTTGGAATGATGCTCAGACAGCTTTATACAAGACAAAATTGAGCAGCCATGGACTTGATATTTATCTTCACTGGCATGTCAAACATGTCACAGACTCACGGCCATACACGGAATAAGCTCAGGGACATAACGAGATCGCCGCATCCTTCAAGAACCAAAGACTGCATCGTCAGGAGTCGTTACTAAGCCACGTCCGCATTTGCGTTCGGCTATAGAGCTCGAATTTAGTCCACCTACGTCCGATATGGCGGGGCAGAAATGAAGGAGGATCTGGACGGGTGGGCAGCTCTCGTAGGGCCGAACTCAGCAAGATCCTAGCGGGTAGTGGGCACCAATGGCAGGTAGTGTTATATGCGTAATACGTGTGTACTTGTTCAGAGCCATTATATACATGAACCAGCCAAATTTGCGGGAGGCCCAAGAACTTGCAGTTAGTACGGTCATCTTAGACTTTCAATCATGATTAGGTAGACGAGTATTGCTATATGTCCATAGGTCCCTTACAATACGAATGCTGCGCTTGTTTTGCTCAAGAATTGTAATTATTCACAGTAAAGTCACTCGGCCTGTACGTGCTTCATACACTAAATCCATCGCGGGGCAAGTCGCGACTCGCGTTACGGAGATACGTCGGTGGCGTTGAGTGGACGCTTTTACAGTCGACTGTCCCAAAAAGGTTCATGCCTTGTGCCAAATCCGCGAGCACTGTCTCGGCTTTGAAAGAAGTCTGAGTCCCTAACCCCGAAGCTCAGGTCCTTGAGCTCCAAATCAGGAAAAACCTGTGTGGCCGTCAGCCAACCAAGCTGCATGCACCGTCTAATCCCTATGAACGAGGCGCAATACAGACTTAATTGCACTCAACATCGTGAACATGGCATTGTATCTCAACCACAATCGAACTCTGGTGCTGTTGGCAAAGATCAAAGAGTATCCCAATGATGTGATTGAGGGCATATTATTGATAATATATTCCCATCTCATGCGAATTCGCTCCATCATAAATGATTGACTATCTTCTCGAGAATTTTTGAGTTCGCTTGACAATCCAAATGATGTTAGGCCCATTCTCAACAAATCTACCCATGGCGATGAGTATCCGGCGAGACTTCAATGGCCGTGGCAGCAGCTTTCTCAGCATCATTTGCCATGGCACGCTTCTCTTCCTCGTTGACGCCAAAGAGGGCGTCCATTTGTTCAAGAGCAACACCTGCAGTAATGTCAGCCATCTGCCTTGCATGCTAAATTTGACAGTGGAAATGGACATACCTTTCGTCTCGGGAATGAGGAACCAAACAAAGAAGAACATAATAACGCCAAAACTGCCAAAAATAAGATAGGTACCGTATCCATTGGCACCGACCGTGACGATCATGTTGGGGACAGCCCGGGCGACGACAAAGTTGAAGAGCCACTGTGTGGCTGCGGCCAAGGCAACATTCTACGGTGCTGTTAGCATGTGTTTACCTGTCACAAAGAATGAAAAATACTCACAAGAGGCCGGAGACGCTGGGTTGGAATCTCAGAGACATAGATCCAGCAGGCAGGTCCCCATCCAAACTGGAAGAATGCCGCAAAGATAAAGATGCATACCAAGGCAACATATCCTTGCGGAGTAATAGGCGCGTCCTTGGCCGGCGGCGAGATTCTCACGTACAGACCAATGTAGAACATGCAGATGGACTGTCCAACAGAAGAGACCAGCAATGATCGCCGGCGTCCGAGCGAGTCGGCCATGAAGAGGAGGAAGATTGTACAAGACACCACTTTGACGATGCCGTAGATTCCCGTGCTGAAGAGCTGGTTCGAGGTACCACTCACGCCCAACTGAGAGAAGATGGTGGGAGCATAGGTGTTGATGGCGTTTGTTCCAGTCATTTGTTGCCAAACCATGAGGAATATGCTAAGGATGGCTCGCTTGCGGTTCGTGGGAATCGTGAACATTTCCTTCAGTAGGGTCCATGTGGTGGCATCACCAATGAGTTGTCTTTCGTAATTGAGCTGTTCTGAGATCTCGGAGATCTCTTCCTCGAGATACGGATGGCCTTCGGGCAGATTCCGCACTCTGGTCAGAATTTGCCGCGCTTCCTCCCACTTGTCCTTTCTTGCTAGGTATCGAGGCGATTCGTTGCTGATCATCATAAGAGAGAACAAGAGTATCGCTGGAATAGCTTGGACGGCAAGGGGAACAATGTACATGACTTTGCCCTTTTCGTTCAGACTCGCGCCGTAATTGATCCAAAAAGCAAGCATACCACCAGTGACGATGAAGAGCTGATAAAGACCAGTCAACAAGCCACGGATAGCTCGAGGTGCGTTTTCGGAAACGTAAATGGGATTGACGACACTGGCACAACCGACACCGAAACCTACAGAAATTGGTTAGAAGCTTGTCGATTATAATATAAAATCGAGCATATAGAAAGGAACGAACCAGAAAGGAGACGGCCAATGTACATGGCCTCGATGTGACCCGATGCAGCGGCTTGCATAATGACTCCGAGCATGATGCATACCGAAGCCCAGATAAGAGACCACTTTCGGCCGATTATATCAGGAATAGGGAAACCGGCAAGGGCTCCAAAGAAGCATCCAGCTTGGAGAACCGATACGATATTGCCCTTTAGATTAGCAACCGCAACCGAGTCAATTTTGCCGTTGTTGACGAAGCCGTAGTCACTGTATATCAAGACGTGGTTAGTATTCTCAAACCCGAACTCGGCGTGATCATGGGGTTGTCACCTACTTTTGAAACGGCGACATTTCGATCACACCTCCAATAACACCACTGTCCCATCCAAAGGACATGGCACCGAAACATGCCTGTATCGCGAATTGTGAGTATTCTTGAACTGCAATGGCCAGAGTCACTTGCGCGAGGTTGAAGGCTTACCGATCCAGCCAACAAGTAGACTCTCCAGTTGTAGATCTCATGAGGATCAGTGTTCATCGCCTCATTTTTGACGATGAGCTTGAGAAAAGAAGCCATGATGGGCGTGAGGACTTGGTCCTGTTCCTCTGTTTTGTTCCCTAATTAATGCTGATCCACGAGTGGAAACCTGGCCTGACTTTGCTAGGTCTCCAGCAAATTGGTGAAAGGGATCTCCAAAAAAACGCGAGAAGCAAAAAACTCAGACCAACAAAGTCGTGGAATGTCCTTTCTTATGAGAGGCGCCCGACTGCCAAAAATCGACCCCCGATCTGCAGGTGGAGGTGTGCTCATGGTTGTTTCCATGGGTTGCAGCACATGGTCCCAATAAATTGGAGCGGCCAGGCGGCATAGTACTTCTTTGGGGGGTTGGTTGGAGCGAGGTGAGAAGAGCTCTAGACGTTGGATGGTGAGCAGGTCAAGCCATTCTTGGCGCAATGGAAGCTCAAGAGAGGTGGAAAGCTGTGCGATCTGCATTTCCCACCAAACAGATGGCCTGGCCTGACCTGGCCTTGTCCCGGGCGAGCGTTGTATAGCCCGTCGTCTCAGAAGGGGGGGTGGCCTCGCTTCACAGGGACTTGCATCTTCTTGTGCTCGATTGGGTCCGCCCAGGGCCAAGGGATTCACCTCGGCCCATCTTCCCGCGTGGATTCTCTCCACGTTCCCCTACCAAGTCGTAAGAACCCGTACCCCAGAACCCCATGGCACAAAGCTGACGCTAGCATTGCCGTTGTTTTCTGGGGGTTAGTGCCAAGCCTACAAGCTGTAAACGAAGTCGCCAGCTTACAAGGAATACATTATCATCAGTCATCATATGTCACGGATGCCGACAGGAATAGCCCGAGCCAAGGCGGTGAAATCATTGGATATCCCCGGAACGCTGCTTGTACGATATGTCGAGCACAAAGATTCTAATGTACAGTGGATATGGTACTTTGGCAAGGCTTTCTCACTTGTGATAATGTTCAGACGTGGTAGCTAAGTACCATGTAGGCATAGTACAAGTCTACGCGTCGAGTGAAGGGTTCTTTCTCTCTAAACTGTCACTGGACCCTGACTTGCACATCCTGGATCGATGCAATCTGGTTGCCACACCCTGCTTGTGCATGTGAGTGGACGGTTAGTGTATAACATCATGCGTGGTTCCTCGTAAGCACACAATAGGATGAAGAGCAAATGGTTTGTACACGCACAAATAGACGACACGACGCAATAAAGTGTGACTGGTTTGCTAGAACAAGACTCCTTCCTGGAACTGTAATCTGGGTTGGTGATATTAGCCAAGAACAAATGAGCTGTTCATGGGCTCCTTTGTCGCGACGGAGATTGAATCCTTTCTTTTTAGGCTCAATGCGGGGATGGGGGAATGGGAGAATCCTTGGACCCCCGGACCTGGCCCTGGACTTTGGACCACTTTCACTCTCACCCCCACCGGCGGAGGCCGCGTAGTATTTAGCACTCTCACTGATTGGCAAGCTGTGCAAATTGAGTTTGGGGAATTGGGGCACGCATAAACTCCTGCGTGGAGACATTTATCATTGCCGGTCAAGGTCGTCTTTTTTTTTTTACGATCGATAAGAAGAAATGCATATGAAAAGTCCGAGTGCCGCTTAGTTAGGCCCGATAAAATGGAACAACTTGAAAGGGACGACTCGTGCTATCACTATAACAGTGCCGATTCAGCAGTCTCGTTTACTCTAGCCTCTCTATGATATTGTAGTGAAAACATTTCCTTTAATTGATCTGTCACTGTCGCCTGATCCTGCTTCTTGAATTCGGGAGGAGACACACGCAAGTATGGCGCCCTCATAATAGTTGTTTTATTGGCCCGCATATATAAATCCCATACGAAAGTCTTACAAGACGGATCAAGATCATCATGTCATGACTATTGGGCACAGATATTGAATCAGCAGTGGTGGCAAATTGAAAAATTGGCCCATCCAGCCGGGTATTGTATGATATGATCCGCAGTATCGTTTCGCTCCCCATTTCACCCAAACAACGACTTGTTTCTCCGTTCGCCCCTTGCAATAACCAATGTTCTATTGATCGACCCATCCTTGATTTACCCAGATCTATCGAGGCAAGGCGATCAAAGTTCAAGAGCATTGTATATTATCATGGAAGCCACCAGCACCATCTGGAACAAAAAGAGCACCACAATCGGCGTCTTGATGGCAAACATGGCCGTCGAGTCCGAGGTAGTCACCGCATAGGCCGCGCCCGAGCAGACGAATTTGGTATACTGGATCGCCTGCTGGCAGGGCAGGGTGTGACAGGTTGCCGTGTCGCTAAAACTGTACCAGTACATGGAGTTGGCGTCGCCGTCCGACGACGACAGGCACATGCCCGGCATGTTTTGTCTCTTGGCCATTATGGCCTTTTCCGTGTCATCGTCGTCGTCGTCTAGTTGTTCGCCTTCGCCGCCGCTGCTGCGTCCCCAATTCGTCCAACAGCCGCCGCTCGCTGCAACCCACAGGGTCGGTGTTCCGCCGTTTTCGCATGCAGGTAGGTTCGCGATATAAAGAGACCTTGCACCCCAGGTTGTCCTCCAACATTGATTGAGGCTGGGTGCTATAAAACTGTTTGAAAAGGGGTGCCCACACAAGTTGTCGTTGAAGAGCATAAAAGACATCTTGTCTACCGTAGTCTTTCGTGTGAATAAGAAAATGTTTGGCAATTTGATGAAATAATCATATTATTACTCGAGACGAAACTTCAAAGTAAGAGATCACTCCATGCAAGCTATATAAAATTTCTTAGACAAGCCATCTGCAAACGATTTAATCGTGATTCATCCTGAAGAAGTGGTTTCAAACGTTATTAAGATCGAGGCGACCTAATCTGTACCTACTATATCACCATCGTCGACGTGTTGCTCGTTGACTTGACTTTTAGGTTATTCAGACTTCATTGGAGAAAAGCTTCGTAGATAATGGTGGATTTGTATACATATATCGTCAAACAGGAGCACATAGGCGGTTGTCTCAGACGGGAGCAAGATACGAGACTGATATGATGGAACACTTTCTAAGCCTTAGACTGCAGATAGTTCATGCAGTCTGTGAGCCTGATCTTCTTGGCGTGATAAATACCTCAACCACGATGATCCCGCTCAGCCAGGCAAGTGAGCCTGCAAGACGGGCCAAGAAAAGCCCCTAAGCAATCAATAAATCCTCCAAAGCTTCTAGAGCCAAGACTATGTCTACTTTTGCCACCAATAAGCATCTGTGAGAGGTTACTCTTTTCAGTCAGGCCATCCTCGCATTGCTGAATGTTGACTTGTCAACCATACTGCCAATCTTGGCATCTGATCCAGTGCAACGGTCGCGCATTCATATTCAACGGCAAACGCTTCTGAAAAATGAGTCAGCCATCTCTCGGCACTGGACTTGGCCTTAGCTGATATTTCCGAGTTTTATTCTCAAACATCATAGCCTTTGAAGCACTTGTCGTTGCAGAGTCAGTCGTGCCACATAATACAAGATTTCAAGCCATGCAGGATAAATACAACCCTTCATTAGATTATTGGACGTCTATTGAATTCGATAATCATATGCTGTACATGCAGTTTTGATTCATACAATCGGAGATTCCCAAACTTGAATGCCGGAATTCCTGAAAAACACATACCAACGCCAGAGCCTATGCAAGGCTGATGAAACGACCATATCCTGACATATCCAAAAGACTCCCCCTTTCTATGATGCCGTTTTTGTTTGCCCATTTCCAACTTGTACATTCTTGGCGACATCAGGTTTCTGAGGCTTCTCCGACTGTCTGATGCGTGACGCAATAAAATCTGGCCATACATCGTCCACGACCCCAGCAGCAACCAGAGCAGTGAAAATGGGATATACCAAGACTACGACGACAAGTATGAGGTCAAAGATATGTACGAACCACCACAGGTACTGCTTCCCAAGCGCACAGTTGACGAATTCATACTTCCATTCCCAGGCGTCCTCGTCGAACCAGGCGCTGAGCAGGCCGGCATTACCGCCAAACCCGCCCATCATGCTGCGTACAGTGACTTCTCGTAGGCCAGGGTGTCCAGGCTTTCCGGGAATAGCCTTCTGTTGAGCCTCATGCCACCGTACAACCTCCCAATTGCGATCATCCAAGCTATCCCCTGTTGTCTGGTTGATGAAGTGGAAGATATCACAACCTTCGTGGTCGTGGCCATTGATGACCAACCCATGCCGGCCCTTGCCGCTACCTGGCGCGTTAATGTCCTTATGAATGCCGTAGATACCCTCGAGAAAGCCTTTGGAAGCATCTGCAGATAGTTGATATTGCTCCTTGACACCGCCTCCCTCCTCGGAAGAGTGGAAATCAAAGAATGGCGCATCAACGCAGACGCCTTCGGGTTTGTACATGGGAATATGCGTCAGGACCAAAGTGAAGTGGCCTTGATACTCGACGGCGGCGGCAGTGTTGATGACATCGTTGACAAAGGTGTAGGTATGATCCTGGAGCTCTGGAGTGATCGCTGGCGTATCCAGATTCATATTGTTGATAACGACGATTCTGATCTCGGGCGCTAATCGGTTCGAATCGGGGTTCTTTTCCGTATCCATGATCGTCGCGTTCAGGGTCGCGTTGGTAATGGGCAACTCGAAGCGCAACTCGTAGGCAGCCTTGCCAAAAGCCTGCTCGAATCGTTCGAGTCGTTCAATCGTCAGATCACCTGCGTACCCTACGTCATGGTTTCCGGCAATGTTGATGATCCGGTTGCGCCATACTGTGCCATTGCTTCCTTCATTACCAAGATAGCCAGTCAGCTGGTATTCCTCGGCAGGGTGCACAGCGACCTCGTCAGGCACTCGTTCACCCCCGGCAAATGCTCTGTTCCAGTATCTCCAGCTTCGCCTCTCGAATTCTTCGTCGCCGATCCACTGGCTACCCAAGAGATCTCCAAGTACCGTGACGTGTGAAGGCTTGGTCCACCACTTGAGCGTTCGGTAGATGTGGGCAAGATAAAAGTCGTTGCCAAACAGATCGATGCGTTTCCGTATTGACTCGAGAGCGTCTGGTATATCCTCGAGGTATAGATCTACCAAGTCGTGCAGTGATTGCCGTATGCGTTCCCGAAGGGAACTGTGCGACGTTTGGAAAGCAATGTTCAACGCAAAACTCTTTAGGTGGTTGAAGGGGGTGCGGTACGTGTCCGGTAGTGAGGTGTCACCCTCGAGCTGGGGATCACCCAGCGCGAGGAGACGAAAGGGCGCAATGCTCAGATCAACATTCCCAATGTGTTGCTGAACGGTCGACTGGAAGGCGGCTGTTGCTGGTTGCGAGTCGGGGAGCGGGAACGCGCAGCCCAGGAAGACAGGGTAAAGGTACAGGTAGGTCGTGATGATCAAAGCAAAGGGGACGAGGAGGCGCAAGACATTGCGAAGAAAAGCCGCGGGGGACATGTAGCTGGCGGCATGTGGCCGAAGCCAGCAGAAAATTGCAAGAGCTCAGTTGGCGAGAGAATCACGTATGGCGTTGCCAGAGACGCAAATAGTGAAGCAAGTCTAGGAGATCATCGTAGCTTTTTTTCTGGGTTGAGAACCGTGCTTCAAGATCTGAGAATAGGGGATCCGCATGCAAGCAAAGACCCTTGGCGCTTACCATATTTAGGAGAGCTTTGTCCAGTAATCATGGGCTCAGGGGGGAAGGTTTAGCATGTTTTTAGGTGCAAATTGGAACGCTCGGCAGGGCCCGCGGTTCCGCCCCAAGGCACATCGCATCGGGGCACCCAGTTACGCTAGGAAATATAGCAATGTGACCGCTGGCTCAGGCAACTTTCGGGCTTGTGGGCACAAAACCATTGAGGCCGTAAATTTAAATACGATCAGTGGTCACTCGATCTGCGTGAAAGCCATTGCCAGAAAGACAAGAAAAGTATTGCCTATTTGCGTTCGCACCAATGACGATCATATCAGCAGTTGCCATGAGCTCTACAGTGGCAAACATTTCCACGGCGCATCCCTCGAACATGAACTTATGATAACATCTTGGTGACATACCGAATGCCCGATGCTATCCAATGAAGCAACCGGAAAGCCTGGGAAATCGGCTATCATAGTTACGTGATCAAATGATCCAAAGGACAGGCCAAGTCCCATCGCCGAATGGCTGTGGCTCTCAAAGTTTTCTTGCCGTGCTGTCCCCATACCACCTCCTAGACCTAAAAGTCTTGTATAAGACAATCCTCGCCAGTGACTCAGTGATGCAGCATATTCCAAGCCCCATCCAGGTAACACTTCAGATTTGATTGAACCTGTCTAGCAATTTCAACTATTGGAGCTGACGACGAATTTCTGATCGGCCTCTGCTCCGTCATGTTAGAGCATACTTTGATCCAACTCATATAGAATTATCCTCCTTGCCTCTGTCAGGCTTTCATACGATCCTCGAGGCGGGAATCGTGACTATGGAATTGCGCATAATATAGTTAATAAGGGTGATTGGACTATTCCCTCCTAGGGAGAAAACACAAGGTACCCGAAATCATACCCCAACTGTCAACACAAAAATCCAGTCATGCAAATAAATGCATCATGCCAGCCACATCATTCATCAATTGCTAGCTGCCTATGTCCAAAGCATTGTTCAAGCGTCACACATTGTGATCATCTATGAACAGCAAGTGTCATTCTGACGTGTACGGTTCTCTCCCTTGGTGGGCTCGGGGATATTGCAGTGGAGTGAATCTCATAGAATCCGTAGTAAGAGAGGCTTCTGCAAATGCCTCTTTAGAATGTGCACAATTTGTAGCGCTGGCGTGTCGCGTGATATCCCAAAGTCTGACTGATAATGTAGAGTGACTGGAAGAGGACCTTGTAACCCCACGCAGTCAAACCCGGCCTATTCCTCCATCTCTTCTTCCTCGTAGGTCGGGAAAGCAACTTGGAAGCCCTCTTCGTCAACGTCTTCGGCATCCTCATCGCGAAACGCAAATGCGACAATCTGGTTGTCTTTTAGGCCCTTGGCCAAGGGCTTGTCATCGGGGGCAGCACGGAGCGGGGTCCAGCCCTGGCTGGGATCGCTCGGGACCGTCAGAACAGCAAACTCGATGCTAGATGAGTCGTCTGGGACGGCGACGGGCGGAGCCTCTCTGTCTGCCTTCAGACCGTCGGGGAAGCGCTCCTTTATTATTTCCAGCAGCTCCGATGCGATGTCTGAGAACTGAGAGTTGGAGTCTACAAACAGGAAGATGCTGTGAACTCCATACTTGAAGCGGATCGACAGGTCAATGTCGTCCACCTTGTCTCGACGAACCTGTGAAGATCGTTAGTGTTCTCGTAACCAAAGACGCCGTGACTTTGGTGGAGAAACTACCATGATGCGGCGATGTCTTCCCTCTCTTTGTGTCCTTGTTTGCAAGTCGAAGGCTTTGGCACAAGCGTTCTTCGTCTCTTGATGAGGAGGAATGGTCCGTGTGCGATTTTTAAGACAATAAAGGTGTCGCCGCAGGTTGACGTAGTGATTGATGCTCAGGCAAACACGTCGGCACGTGAGGACGTGAGAGTCGCTTAAGTGGTGGGGCGAAATAGCTTATCCGTCACCTTGGGCAGGCCTCCACTGCACTATCAATAACCTGCTAGGTACTGCAATAATCAGGCAGCTACGGCGATTCATTTTTGCAGGAACGGGAACAAGGCGCCTGTTTTTTTTTTTGTATCCTCATATAACATTGGAAAGGAGAAAAAAGAGAGATGTCAATAACATTGTCCTGGAATATATAACACCAACCCCCCGTTTTAAATATCAAGATGTTCAATTAAAGACGATCAGCAAATGACTAGACACTTCTGTATGATCCCACGATCAACTAATAAAACAGGACGGTGTGTTATGCAATAAAATATGTCTTTTTGTCAAGTTTTCATAGATTTGTCCCTAAACAGCCATGACTCAGGTTCATCCAATCACCTAGGTACCTCAATAGGCTCTGTTCAAATTTCAATACTCTTCATGCGTAAGATTCACACATAATTTATCTGTAGGTTTGGGTCTGTGTCATTTATTCATAGTATTGTATCTTTCATCATTTCCGTGTCAGCTGATGTGTCATACCAATCCTTTATCTAAAGAATCTACTGGCCAGCCATGTAGCGATACCGTGCTTAATCATCCGCGCAGCGACGGCAAGAATCAATTATGTGACGAGCCCGCTGCAATATCCTTGAAATCCAAACGTCCAATACGAGTCATCCGACGTATTGCTCATGAACAATGGTTCATGAACAGGCGGGAGATCGGGGTTGACAAGAGTAGTGAGACCCATGATATTTGATCCTTCAATTCCAACGGGATAGAGTGTTGATGTACATGCAGTTAGGTTTCCCCAGTTTACGCTGGTGTAGCCGCCTCCCGGATTGCGATTTGTTTCGATGCTTGCAATGGCTATGAGGGCCGGGATGTAGAGAAAGAAGCAGTAGGTGTATATCCGATAAAATGGCGAAGAAATGCATGGGATGATGGTCGTTGTACTCATGCCCCGCAAGAAGTAGTATAGATATAGAATAACGGTAATGGTCAAAAAGACCACGTAAAGCATGGCGGTGGAGAACATGGTGGTAGTCATGAATCTTCCAAGTGAATTCGGTGCTGGGTTGATCGGTACAACGTACAATGCAGAAACGGCCCAGAATAACACCAGGATGAGCATGTAGACGGTACGAAACACTCGCGATGGCCAGTACGAGGTCGGCCTGTAGCGTGCGATAACATCCATAGGCGAGGTGGGTCGCGGGGACATGAGATGCTCTGTACTGCCACTCTCGTCCTCGGGGACTGATGGGAGTGTTTTCAAGGGGATATCGCTCCTTGTGTTGTATATGTAATCCTCCGTGAGCCACCTGGCCGCGAAGAGTCTCAGAAGCCCAAGGATTGCGATTGGCGTAAATATTGAGTCGACTCCAAGCATTCCGACGTAACTGCCGCTAGATTTCACGTTGACCAGAGAATCCACCAGAGGATAGAAAGCGGCAATACCCTGCGCTACTGTGATTACAGTCTTGATTGTTGTGCTCGAAACAAGCTCTGCGTGGGGGTGCTCAGGTAAGTGAATGCAGTAGGAGGCTGCAGATATGATCACTATACGATTTACTGTTAGCAATCGCGGGCCCTGGAAGCATCCCAAGACAAGCTTGACGTTGGGGTGTACCTACTGTGTTCACGACCATCCCAACCAATTTCCGTCCAGAAAATGGCATTGCTGGCAGCCATATCAGAATTGCTCCAATAGAGAGCTCGGATCCTGCGATCGGTAATTGCGGCATACCGCCACAAGATGGACGTTGGATTATAATGGCAAACGTAGTCGTACCAATGTGGCCTCTTTGCTGCCAGGGAAGACCCCGATGGCGAGCCCGACACAACGTGAACAATCAGCGGTGCAAGACACAGAGTCAGAAGGGAGATCCATTCCGAAAAGGGAATACATTTGCTGTTGAACGACAGCGGCAACAAAACATAACGAGTTAAGGCAAGCATGATTGCAAGAAAGGACGTTGATTGCTATGCCACACGTTTTACCTCTGCAAAGGTCAAAGGGTGTTTGCCTTCTTATTGAGAGTGGTGAAAGATGCATTTCAGCATGACCGTGAGGCAACAGAGTCAAGGCCTGACCCGTGGAGAATCCGAATTGTGGTTTGCGGCGCAGTAGGCTGTTATTCCCTGAAAAGTGGTACTTACGAGGGTCGGCGTATCCATGCCGTCAGCTCAGCTCAAGCATAATGATGGAGTCTTGTATGTATCTTGAAGATCCTTTCAGGAGTGGAGGTTTTGAATGCAAAACGTCGGATAACAGTTCCCAGAGCTCGATGCGATTGATTGAGCTTGAGCAACATTCCGCATGCTCTAGTAGAGTATTCGGGCATATTTAGCAATGTTAAGAGCCGATAAGATGATTGCTCATATGCTTAATTTTGCAAGGCATTTACCTGGACTCTGGAAAATTATGAGTTTTCTGTTTAATTGAGAATTGGATTGGCTGATACGAATTGCGCATGTGTATTGTTTATGTGTATCAAAAAAGCAGCCGAAAATAGCAACACAGCGCATCATGAAATGAGCATCACCCCTTGTGCCCCATAATTTACTGGGGGAGGATCTTTTGGGACACTAAAAACTCAGCCCGAGCAAAATTCGGCCAAGTCTGCAGCGCCAAATCTCCATGTGCATATCGATAACAGAAACTCGGAATCATTAATGGAACATCGCACGATCCTACGTATTGTCCGTCGCATGTCTGGCATCTGAATCTATAACCAATAACTTATCCTTATCCACAACTTCACGACTTACGACTGCAACATATAGCACAGAAACCACAAGCAAGAGCCCAGCCGAGCCGGGGCGCCACAGTCGAGCATGTCGTTGCAATCTCCATCGTACGAAAAGGTGTTGAAGCACGTCAGGGAGCGAAGATACGAAGGCGCAGAGTCACAAACAAGAGATGGACGCATAAAACCGACGCGCGAAGAGTACGAGAGGCTATGGAGAGAGTCGAGACTGTCGCTGCCGCCCATGGTCCGGATACCAGGAGCTGCGCTGGCAGCCTTTGGCATGGGCATGACGCTGGGCCTCGCGCACGGCAGTCAGATGGCCGGTCTACGGTTTCGAGCCGAACACGCACACAAGCTTCCCACGACCACGACCGGATGGTATCTATATCACAAGAGCAAAAACTATCACCTCATGTTTGGCGGATTGAAGGAAGGCTTCCGGAATGGACTGCGCTTGAGTCTAATCACGTCGGCCATGTTCTGCACGGAGAATCTATTCGATGTGTACCGGGGCTCCAAGGACATGTTTAACACCATTGCTGCCAGTTTGGCTGTAGCGGGCGGTTTCAGTTTAATAAGTATGCCTCGCCCGATTGCGTCGCCGATGCTTGCATCATCATTGCTAACCCGAATTGATCTGTAGATCGATTTTCAGCGGCCGAAAGTGCGAGAACGGCACGGAAGGGATTAATTGTTGGTTTTGTGTATGGCGGCGTCCAGGACCTTCTCTCGCTCGCAAAGGGTCGGCCCGTTGGCTACATCGAGTTTCTACGGCGGCATGTCGGCGGCGGCAGCAGCGCACAAACGCAGGAAGAACATATCATGTAATACTCTCCATCATCATGCCATCGTAATGGAGATCGCGAGTGGTGAAAGATCCACACTAGTATTACTGCTCGGTTATTCATGGAAAGAAGCAAATGTCGCCAATTTGCACGACAATCCATAAGCACATATCTGGAACCCGATCTGTCTGGAGAACCCACTTTATCCTGGGGACACAATATGATACCGCTGACTGTTGCCGAATCAAACATTGGCAGAAAGTTACCTACACTAGGACAGTATGCCCGGCTAGGAGAGGCGACCGTTTCTTTGTATGCACGATTCGCCCTTTTCGCATTGCGCTGCCGGAGTCTGTTGGCAAAGTGGATCAACCTCTGTTGGGCTGCAGAACTGTTCAGCTGTTGCATTGCGCGATTCAGTCGGAAAGCAACCCAAGATAATTGTCAGCGATTACCGTGAGACGCATACCATTCGGCAATCTGGCTTTCACCGTACAGTAGACGACGCCCGGCTGTCTGTCCAGCAGTGGCCCCCCACACGAACGGGTTTGACAATCACTCGGTTCAGTGCTGCAGAGTGCCGACAAGGACAAGCACAGAGCTCAACAGCCAGGACAGGGCCCGCCCAATTGCCAGAGGCCAAGCAAGGGCATAGAAAAAGAAGCTCCCTTTCCCCACAGAGGAGCAAGATAAAAAGTAATAGCCAGCTCCACTCTGAGCCGAGCTTGATGATTTGGAGCCGAGCACGCTTGAGCGGTGGCGCGAAGCACTGACACGGCACGCGGGAATCTCTGGCATCTTGAACCTTCACCGGGGTCGTGGAACCAGAAGCTATCCTCTAAATAGAGTTGGTCCCCTCCTGCTGCGCTTACTGTCTGGTGCGTGCATGCCGCGGCCAGCAACGGTAGCGCTCGTGATTGGCCAATCGAGGGCTATCGCATCCGGCTATAGGCGGCATTCTTGACCATCATGCTCCCCACCCACGTGACGCTACGTGATAAGACAACTGCTTGTGAAAGCGTCTCGAGCGTCTTTCATCAATGATAGTATTGATTTCATACAGGCCAAGGCGCGGGCTGGCCAGGGAAAAGCAGGAGGGGCAAGCTGCTTTGCGTTATTGAGTCCACGGCCTGCGCCAATCTTACGTGCCTCATTTCTACGGCCGTTGTACCATTGATTGCGATTATCGGAGGCAGGCACGAGCCGTCCATCCAGTATCAGCTTAGCCACTGTCGTCAGAATGTCTCCTAAAAGGTTGATTTATAGACCCTCTACCCTCTCCCCTTTGTCTACCCGGTGGTTTTAAACTTTAGTCTTGACCTCATATTCTCGACCTGTCTCTCTGCGTAGTACTTGAGTGTGATCCTCCAGATCCTTCTATTTGAGCATCTTCAAATTCTCTCCATTGTTTGCGACAAAAGAAACAATCCAACTTCAAAAAACAAACGACAACAATGCTGCAGGCCCCATTGGCGGGAAGGCCCTTGGCCTTTCCTTCGTCTTTGAGGATTGTAAAGCATCAATCATATGTCTTCCTAGTAGCCCGGTCCTTCGCGACAACGCGACCTGCCTTGGAACCCACCGAGACCGCCAAACGTCGCCTTCACTCGACCTCGAAAACTGCCCAGGATATTTCCATCATTGACACCAAGTCCATCACCGACCTCAAGTCTCAATTCGCCGAGGAAGCAAAAATGGCAGCCAAGAAAAAGGTTGTGCCACTTTCCGTTCTTCCGCTTCCTACGGTCCTCCGTACGCTTGCCACGACGACCATTTCATCTTCGCCAATCCTCCTCCCGCCTTCGCTGGCCGCCATGAACGTGCTTGCGCACACTGAAAACCCGATCTTGAACCCCGACAAGAACGCTATACTCGGCTGGTTCTTGAAGAAGACCTTTTACGCACAATTCTGCGCTGGTGAGAATGCTGGCGAGGTCCGCCAGACGGTCGACGGTCTGAGGAAGATGGGTTTCACTGGTGTCATTCTGGGTTACGCCAAAGAGGTGGTTCTTTCCAAGTCGCAGACGGAGAACTTGACCGCCTGTGACCATGGCATCGAAAAGGACGAGTGTGTTGAGAAGGAGATTGGACCCTGGACTGCTGGTACCCTGGAGACCGTCCGACTGGCTCAACCCGGCGACTTTGTCGCTCTCAAGTTTACCGGTGCTGGACGGCAGGCCCTCTACGCCCTCAAGAATCGACTTCCCCCTCCCAAGGAGCTCCGTGCCGGTATCGACCAAGTCTGCGACTATGCTCGCGAGCGCAACATCCCTCTCTTGTTTGATGCCGAGCAAACTGCTCTGCAGGCAGGCATCGACGACTGGACCCTCGAGTACCAGCGCAAGTACAACAATGTCCCTGGCCACGCTCTTATCTACGGTACCTACCAGGCCTACCTCAAGGCTTGTCCTGCCGTCCTCGGCTCGCACCTCCTGGCTGCCGCCAAGGAGGGCTTCACTCTGGGTATCAAGCTCGTTCGTGGTGCCTACCTCGGCGCCGACCCCCGTCACATTATTCACGACACCAAGGAAGACACGGACAAATACTATGATGCCATTACTGAGTCGTTGATCCGTCGCGAGTGGAACGACATTCTCAAGCAAGACGTCGAGTACCCCCTCGTCTCAATTCTCTTGGGCTCACACAACCTCGAGTCGGTGCGCCGTGCCCGCGCGGTCCGCGACTCGATCTCCATCCCGGCACCAACAACATACCCGTCCAAGGGCCCGGTCGGCGAGCTGGCCATTGCGCAGCTGCAGGGCATGGCTGACGACGTGAGCTGCGAGCTCGTGTGCGTCAAGAAGCGCGACGACCGCGACAGTGCCATTGAGGAGAGCACCAAGGCCTACAAGTACATTGTCTGGGGCACCACGGGCGAGTGCATGAAGTACCTGCTGCGCCGTGCCAACGAGAACAAGGACGCCGTCCAGCGCACCCGTACCGGACGTGATGCCATGTGGGGCGAGCTCAAGAGACGCTTCTGGGCGTCTTTGGGCCGTGCCTAATCATGACATGCACATTCAGCATCTACTTGGAGTCTTTTTCCTTTCTAATTTCTCATGCATTGATTTGAGCGATACGGTGTTCAGGGAGTTTGAGAGCGTTATTGGCGAATTGAGGCGTTTTTTCATGACGACAAAAGAGGACGAGCGAATACCAAAGTTTGTGCACATTGACTGCAAAGCTGTTCAGGGATAGAGTGATGCGGAGCGGGTGGAACATGGTCCAGTTTTGACATCCAGTAGAGAGGATATGGTCTAATGAAGCTCATGATTACGGCTGTAGTACCATTATTGATAGAAGAATGACACTATTTTCTGAATATCCTTGGTCTGGTATACTTAAAAACATCCTGTTGATGTTGTGTGGAATGTATCGCTTGTCCCACAACAGCCTGCTCGAGTGTGTAACATGTAGCATTAGTATACGATCCATGTACGTGGGCCTTCTCCGAGACTTGTCCTCGTGAACTCGAGCGACCTTGCATAGCACGGCGGAGATACCTACTATGATTCTCCACAGACAGTAATGATCGTTTCAATAATAGTTACTAAACATAATGAAACTAACCAGTCCCTGTCATCACCGCCTCCTCCACAAGACCGAATCCGGAAGACTATAGCATCTCGGCTATCCGCGGACGAACTAGTTGTGATATATATCCACTTCTTTTTAGCACCAACCTGGATCTGGAGCGGAGACCAAGACAAGGGGAAGGAATTGAATAGCAAGGAACCACAAAAATCAATTGAAAAACTTCATTCGCCATTGAGTTTCAATTGAAAAATGAAGAGACTCACGAACGGTCTTCCTCGGCCTTGTCGACTTTAAGAGGGTCCTAAGAATGTCTAGACTTGGGAGTATTTTTCTCATGGTAGGACTGGGATGCAATGATCCTGAGATTGGAACACCCAAGTCACGCGAGACGCGCTTCAATGAGCGCCAGTGGGCTCACTGTGAAAGACGCCTGTCGCGATGAGTCTAGCGACATTTGAGAAGGGATTCGTAGCCCCATGAGTAGTCTCTCGCCGCAACCAATTCCTTTCGTGCCCAGAAGCGACACCTTGGAGTATTTGATGATGGATGATCGCACTGCATCGAAGGCCAACAAGAAAACTTGGACTGCCGAGCAACTGGTGGCCAACAGATCAAGATTACTGATGTAGATAGCCAAAGCAACACCGACAGTCTTAGCTTCACCGAAAGGGTGGGCGACAAAGCCAAAAAAGATTGTCAAATCTTCCAGTTTCAGTCGGTAAGAGTACGCAAATCACGAGCGTTCATATTAGGCACATTCGTCATTATGTGATACAACTGGTCCTACTCACATTGCGATGCCTTGTATTTTCTCCAGGTGCGCCCGCATTCAAAGACAACCTGTGTCGATCAGCTGAAAATGCATCACTCTTTGGGCTTGCAAGGTTAGAAAATTGTGTAGAAGAGATACACAATTACCTAATCACAATGGAAGTAAATTCCTTTAGGAATCGTTCACGACGCCACAAGGCTTGATACGACCTATGGGCTGTTCTTCTTGCCACTCTGCAGGCGCAGCAAGTGAGCATGAATCCATGGCCGTCTTCGCCATCATCAAATTTGAGAGGCAAGCTACGAGCAAGATTGAGCGAGGACGTATTACAGGTGGTTGTACCAATAATGATCTAATTATTCGATTGTATTTCCCCTGATTTTGTTTCTTTCAAGGGTCTACCATAGCGTTGCGGCCGCTGCTTGTCTACATCCCTGTTGAGCTGTGATCCTAGGCCGTACCATGTACCTTTCCATTAAAGCCGTCCCGCCCGAAGGATTGAAAAGGTAGCATTTGGACTGCTAAACGTCATCAGCGAACGCATTGAGCGATTTTCATACTAATTTTAGTCGTCGGCGAGGAGGTAAATCTTCTGAAGGTCAAGGAATGTCTCACAAGGCGAAAGATAGTGCTCCTCTGGGGTCTAGGGGATAGAACAACAGAGTCGCACAATTATCACCTATTCATAACCTCCAGTAAGGTAAACGAAGTATTATCAGTTATGATGTGACTCGGATACAGCACGAATGGACTCTTATACTCTTAAAGATGCATCGCCAAGCTAGATCCTTCACGCGATGATGACTATGCGATTTGATGTTTCAACTGAGGCAAAGAGGTCTTTTTCCTTGTCAAGCTTTTAGGATCAACAACCCTGTCCGTGCCTGTGACGTCGAAGGCTTGGCCTATAAATGGACTGCGGGAGCAGAATACTTGGCGGCGTCGCCGCAAAAGCTTATTGGAACATGGCCAACCTGAAGAGGTTGAATATCTTTAAGGGAAATAATGCTAAATCCAACATTGATGATCATTTTCTCTTTTCTTTGATGCCTTCAGGCATCAATTCCTGCGATGAAGAACATTTTCTTCAGCAATGTCGCATAGGCGGAATCCTCTACGTAAATATGGAACGAGATTGGTAAACGAAGGTACAGAGGCCGATGACATTTCTTGAGACTCTAGAGCAAATCGCGAGGTGTTAATGTTAGGAGAAGTAATATAAATATGCTTGGGTTCTCCGCCGAAAACGAATCAACACAACTTCGCCAATCTCAATCATATAACTCTCATCTACAGCTACAAGCCAGCCTTTCGACCCTTTCGCGTCTGCAAGATTTTAACACAACATTTGACCCAAATACACTCCCCAGATATCAAACATCATGTACTCTTCGGCCATTCTAGCCCCGCTGGTATTATACTTGGCTGGCACAGCTCTAGCCACGCCAACACCAGTCATCCCGGACAAGCGCACCGCATGTGCCGTGTCTGTCGACGAGACTGTCGACGCATTGGGCAACCTCGCCGTCCACTACAGCGACAACAAGATCAGCCTCGGCGATCAAGACCCGACCGACTTGTTCAAGCAAGTCGGAACAAAGTGTGCAGATGCAGGCAGCTGCGATCCAAATGCATGGACCGGGAAGGGCCAGGAACCAGGCAGTCCAGAGGGTCTTGAGGATGTTGACATCTCCATGGTCGCCCACGGCCTCTACCCCGTCTGGATCCACAACGGGCTCTATGATGCGCTCATGACGGCCCTGTCAAAGGCGGTGAAAAAGGAGACCAAGACGTACACGCCTAGTACGACTTGCACGTCCTCCATTGGCTGCTTTGGCTCTTCGGACAAGTCCATTGACGTCTACACTATCCCTGACTGGATCGCCGTGTACTGGTATGATCCAGATGACTGCAACGCCGACCCGGCGTTCATGGGCGTCCAGACCTCGGTCAAGGTCGAGGGAAGCTCTGGGTTCTGCAGTACCTTTAGCACGCTTGGAGGTGCGCTCGCAAGCTCAATAGGAGCTCCCGGCGGCGCTGGCGTGGTCTTTTCCCTGCTAGGACTTTCGTGCTCCCTCGCCGGCCAATAGATGGTATTCCTATCTCATGGGCAGCTCATGTATGCTGAATAAATCGAATGAGAAGGATACAGGCACCCAAGCGGGCGTGATGTACATTTTTTCTGAGTCAACCAAGGGTTATTATTATGAGTAAATTCCGTATCTTGAATCCAGTCAATACACAAATGCACTATTCAAGACAAATTCTGCCAAATTGCTTCTCTTCTCTCCTAGCGCGGCGGCGTTCAACATCGGGAGTGTGCTAGCAAATTTGGATTTACCGTTAAGGCTTCATTCCCTTGCATATGGCCAGATATTTTCAATCAAAGATTTTTCTGCGATCACTCCAATTTGTTAGATCAACTATAAATTAGCCAAAGAAATGCATGATTCTAGTAACAAGCTTCGACTGCCCCATACTCTTTCCCGTCAACTTCGAAGGAGAACCTCATAAGTCCGGACTGATTATTCTCCACCAAAATGTCAAAATTCAACGTGGAATATTTGGCACCGTCACTTTTGCGATATTTCTTTTGAAAATAGCGGTCAGGAATCTGGTGCAAGTCAAGCACCAACGTGCAGTTCACCCGCACTGGACATCGATGAGATCAGTTATGATACGCTAATAAAAGTTATCGGAACCCGTTTCACTGACTATTCTCGTCCGGATATTTAGTGACTGGTTCTGTTGACTCGTATAGATAGGTTGTCATCGTTGCACTCGACGTCTTCGGGTCGTGGCCTTGAAATACTTGGTAACGGGCAGCGCGCATCCTCTTATCGCGATCCAGTTCTTCTCCCTGTTGGTATCACGTCAGACCACGATTCCCAGTAAGCCTCCACGATACAAAATAGCAAGGGACCTACTTTGCGGATATTCCAAGTCATCTTGTCACATGCATAGTACTCTTCCCACACCCGCCAAACTTTCGGCCTCCCTTTGTCGGCAGTCTTGTCATATTTGTGATAGGCTTTCGAGCCGTAGCTCTTACCTGCTCTTGTAGAGACTACAACTGGCTTGGAAGAAAGTTTGCTCAAGACAGCCCCCCTACCAGATTAGCCAATATCCATGCAGGAAGGGAATTGAGCATACATCATTACTGCTTTTCGGCTAATAACTAAGATTAGCACATTGCAGTTTCTACCTTTTTTGATGTTCTTACGCAGCTTCTGGTTGGACAATCTTGACCTTTGGGATAGACTCTTCAAGCTTTCGCCTCAAATATTCATTTGATCCGAACCCTCCGACAAGAAATACAAACTGGAAAATGAAAAGTGTCAGCTATACGGATAACTGTACTAAATCATTCAATCAGGGATGAGAAGAGTAAAATTACGCATACTCGTACTTGGCATCTGCCTTCACTTGCCTCGGATGCACTTTTGATCTGACTGCGCACCAAATCAACGATCGTGTTGATAGTTGGTTCAAACATGTCGGCAATGCGTTTGCTTCATCGATATTAGCGTTTGACATAAGCAATACAGACCATAAGCTGCTCACGCCGAAAAGGCCATGGTGTTGCTCTCAAGGCCCATCGCAGGATTATCTGGGAGTTGGGCGGTCGGGAAGGTCACGTATACGTCGTCGTCGTCAAGGCCACGGAAGGCCTGTTTGACGTTGACATCAAACTCTCTCATCGCAGCTCGATATGCTTTGGTCGTTTTTAGGGCCATAAATTGGGTTGAGCCAACTGTTTTTGCTACCTCCTCCTGAAATCGTGCATCGATAGCAACGGAGCCAGCAACAGCACCTTTCATCAATTAGTTGGTGCTTCCACGTGTGATTTTCAATCATACCAGTCGATGCAGTGAGCGGGGTAAGCCGCAGTGGCTCAAGTTGGTCGACTTCGTATGTGACGAGATCAACCGTACCACCTCCTGCATCGCAAATGACAACAGCGTTTCTCTCCTGGATTCAATCAGCCAAAAGCACTGCAAATCAAATCATGAGACTTACCTTCAGTCCTTTTCCTTTCATCCAATCCAATGTGTACAAAGCAGCAGCCTCAGGCTCTGTAATGAGGTCCAGAGGGTACACCCCAGCCTTCTTCGCAGCCTTTATGACTCATTACCTCCAGAAACATGTATCGCAGAGGCTGCCAATACTTACTTCAAACGTCAGCTGTTTGGCTTTGTCTGACCAAACAGCTGGAACTGTAATGACATATTGCTTTTCATACAGTTTATCCAGCTCAATCTCATCTGCTGCTATACTTGTGCAAATCATGTTTGTAGCGTGATTATACAATGCGCGCATCAAATCTGCTGCTACCTCCTCAATCGGCTTTGGGAGATTCAAAGGATCAGCGCAAATATCCGTGACATCGTAAGGTTTAGGCTGATCAGGGTCAAATAGTAATTTGAGACCAAAGATATGGTCATCCAGAGGATTGACTTCATAACCCCATTTGAACTTTGAGTCCGAATGCGGCAAGTACTGGATCCTGGTTGGGGCTTTGTGATTGCTATCTCCATCACCTGGCCAGCTGCGAATGTTATTGATGTCTGTAGAACGACTGACAACACCATGGTGGCGGTATACATAGGCAACTCTGCTTTGCAAGTAAGGTGATTGTTTTGAAACCTAGGCTTAGACATTCACATACCCACTAAAGGTTGTGCCAAAATCAAGAGCAAGTATAAGGTCGTTCTTCCGTGCGAGGGGGATGGCGTTCTGATCCACCTGCTTACGCTGGCGGGCAAGCCCAAAGAGTGATGAAGTCTTCCCCATCGAGTCGACGTAACGATTCTTTGATCGAGCGTGAGTGCTGTGGACAACGAGAGGCCGTGACCCGGAGACATGAAGATGGCGGCTCCTGGCGTCAAGTTTTAGGTGAATTGGTTACTTTGGCAAGGCGCCGTATTCTGCCACCAGGCTGTCTAGCAATTTCAGGCTGCTTTGTACAATTGAGCGACGCGGCATAATTATGCGCCGTCAACATGGGCCTGAAAGAGGCTGTGCAGCTGCATTGTGTGGCCTTGCATTGCTGGAAGCCCGGCTGACCGAATCATATACCGACAGCTGTTTGTATTGCACATGCATGTTACACTATGCTTACATGGTGGGGAGACACAGCCTCGAGCAATTTATGACCAGGTCACATCTGTGCTTTGAGTGTCTAATTTGACGCTTTCAGCGTCGCTCCCAATTGCATTCTTAGCGCATTGGCGGACCGCCTGTTGCCAGTCGCACGGAGTACTCTGTATATAGGTAGATACCTACCTATTTACGCGTTGAAGATGTCAGACAGCACCGCGCATGAATCAGGAATCATTCTGATACCTACAAAATCTGGTCGTTTTCTATTTTCCAAGCTCGAGTAGCTATTACTCGAGGCTATGCTGTCATTCTTGACCCGTACAATGGCATCGGAAGACGAGGAAAATAACCATGTCGTGGTCCCCAGTCATGCAATCCAAGCTCTGACCAATGAATTCAGAGGTGGAGTCGGAGAAGTGCAAGAAGCCATTCGCAAGCTGAGAGAAGATCTTCAGAGCAGCGAAGCAACAACTGATGCATCAAGAAGGAGTCTGCCAAAGGCTGAAGCAACCATTGACCCGGATCACCAAGCAGAACTCGCTCGAGCCGAGGATAAATACGATAAACTCCTCGAAGCATATGAGCAGCAAGCCTTGATAATCTCGCAGCTTCAAAGTATGAGGACCCGGACGGGGCCTAAATTCGGAACACCAACTGATGACGAGATAATCAACGACTTCACCCGGCTGAAGGGTGCCATTCTCCAGCTTGTTCGAAATCATATAGTTGCCAAAGGTAAAAAAGGCATGGAATCGATTGATCCGCTTTGGGTACAGAGTCAAGTGGCAAGCGGTTTGCATCAAAATTATTTTACCAAAACGGCACGGCCCTTTGGGTTCAGGAGTACCGAGATAAACGATGCGCTCCAACGATTAGAGATAAACGCAGAGATTCTGGATTATGACGGTAGGATGCCAGTCACTCCACTACCTTGATCCTTCTTCAATCGACTAATAGTGCTTCAGAAAATGATTTACGAAATTGGCGCGTTGCCACTATTCAAATCAGCGAGTGGTTGAATGACCACCAGCCAGTCTCTGAGCAACTAGATCATCATCAAGTTGCGACGTCAATGTGGAATGAATTATTACACCCAAAGCTGGGCGCAATGCCATCAGTCATCAACGAGCTCAGCAAAGTATGCTCTATATCCCACAAGTTAGCAATGAAGCTCCGCACAGCAAGGGTTGAATATGCATGGGATCAGGTTGGTGAAGGCTTTTCACGGCAAACTATGGTCATGGATCATCCAGAGATAGCTGTGATCCGGTCACTCGATCGATCAAAGGTACCTACTGGATCGTTAGCATTTGTAACATTTGGGGGTCTGATAAGGGGAGATCCTATCACCGGCCTCTTGAAAGATGGTCACAGCAGACTTCTTCCAACGGAGGTTGTTTTAGATTAAGAAGAATGCTTTGTCACGGAAACCTAAACATAGCTTTAATAATTGGATTGGAATAGTTCTATCTCTATTGATGTACGACTTTCATATAAGACTCTCAATCTCAACTTTCGCGCATTGGCGTTATGGGGCACTCTCGGTCGAAATAGATGTAATTCGCATTACGTGTTAAAGGTAAATAGCAAAAAAAGACACTTGAATTCTATTGACAATTGAATAGTGAGGCTAGTGCAGTCGGGTACGGGGGCCAACGAAGAGACAAATGTCCGTACTGAGGGCTCGCAAAAGAGGTATGTAGGTACCTAGGTAGCCAATGTAAGCCTGTTAGGTACCTACGTAGGTACTAGGTACATACCTATGTATGTAGTACCCAAGGCACATGCATATATGGTCAGAGTACATGCCCACCCGCGTCTGCCGCGCTCAATCCAACGTCGGGCGTAACCTGCATGATACCTCAAAGTACCTAAATGTAGTAATGGGGTAACCTGGTACGTACCTAGGTATTTAGAAACTGTTTGCGGGTGCAAAGCGATCTGTAATAAGGGAATTTGCGGAGCTTAGCAACACTAGCAGCTGCCTAGATTATACAACACTCTTTACACCACCAAAAAGACCACCTACTAGGTATCATTGACTACCATTGTTCCTCTTTTTTCACTATTTCCAGGTGTGTTAGCTCAGTTGTATCCTAATCCCGGCTATATATTTCCCGTCATAGCTCTCCGTGCCAAAGCTTTAGGTGCTCGTTCAGCGTCCTGTCAGCCTTTGTTAAAGAATCAACAAGCACAATCTCTGCCACTAATAAAATAGGGAACAAAAACCAAACCAAACCAACCCTACCTAAAACAAACAGCCGTAAGGCTATGGCCTTTATATAGTTTTTAATTAAATAGCATATAAAATCTTAAAATATATAAAAATAGTTTTAATTAAAAAAAACGATAGATCGTCCTATATGCTAAACGCAACGAAAAACAAAGGCTTATAAGTCCCGAAGGGACTTATAAAGCCACTTTAAGCTAAGCCTTTATAACCATTTTTAATAAACATCTTTAGCACCCTTATATCAAATCTCCTTTAAGGCTATCCATTAAGCCCCTTAATAATAGCATTATAAATTAATAATAGCGGTATTATATTATCTACTTCTTTTTCTTATTTATATTAAGTGCCATAATTTAATTATTATTAATTTTTTAAGCATTCCTTATCGCTCGTCGTTTAGCATCGGTAATAGGCTACTTGCTTATTTCCTTATTTATAACCGCTATATGCTTTTTAAATTCCTCCTATCTATTCCATCTTTATATATAATATAATAATAGTCGATACGCAATATCTTAATTAATATCCCCTTTCTATATATATAAAGTTAACCAATACCCACCGTTAATATCTCGGAGGCGAAAAAAAAAATATCTAAAAGGATAAAAATTAAATATCGCAATTAAAATATCGATAACGACTTTTTTCCTCCTTTTTTAGTTTATATTTATAGCCGGCAAAACTATAGATTAAATAAAAACAAAAAAAAAAGGCTTAAAGGTAAGGGATTTAACTTTAAGCCTAATCGAAAAAGTAGGTAAAAAATAGCGAGCAAAACTAGCCCCTTTTTTTTTAATAAACTTTTTTAAGTATTTTTTTGGCTCTTTCTTAAACTAAAAAACGGTATCTTTAGGGAAAAGAGGTTTACGGTCCTAAGCCCTAACTAGGTTAAAAGCAGCTCGGTATTAAAATTGGATATATTTGCGTATAATATCATAAATAGGACCAATAATCGTATTATATAAATCGTATATTATTTCCGAATAATTATAATACTTTAAGCGCACAAAATCTTAATTAATCCCTAAATATCAAATATATAAATTTATCTATAACCGTTTAATATTAGGCATAAAATATTAATCCTTTTTTAATACGGATAACGGATTATACAAAAATCGGGAAAACCAATTTATTACTTTTAAGCCACAAAACCAGGAATTAGGTTATCGAAAGACCTTAATTAAATTAGCGCGGGCAGGATAAAAGCCGGATTTAGTGGATTTAAGTCTTTTTTACTATTTCCGAACTCGGTTAAGGAGGACTTTCGCTTTTCTTTTACGAAAGCTAGAACTATTATTGTCGATAATATATAAACGTCGGTAATTAAAATTAACTAGCCCGCTAATCTAATAGTTATTAATATTTTAATTAGCAGCTTTTTGTATATACGGTATATTGTTAACCAGGAAAAGGTATTTTGCACTTATATTTTTAATATTTTATTAATATTATATAGGCAGGCGATTTATTATAGTATTTTCGGGAAAATAGGCGATTATTTTAATTATAAGCTTTATTACGATTTTATTATATAAATCCTAACGGTAATATATAAGCAGCTTAAAAATAGCAGTTATCTCGTCGTCGTTAATTTATATATATTCGCCTACTTTTTTGATTAATAATACTAAATTTTTGATAATAAGTCCCTAATCGCGCTTAGGAACCTATTCCGGAGGCTTAGCATATTATTTAATTAATAAATTAATAGCCGTTATCGAATTATTTCCGTATTTAATAAAATCTGCTATATTCGAATAGGCGGGTATCGAATATATAAGCAATTTAAAGCTATTAAGCTTATTAAATAGGCTATTTTCGCTTTAACTAATATAAAATAGGTAAATTATCTTAAATAAATTATATAATTCCTTCTCGTCTACCTAATAAACCGCTAATACTTAAATAAAATATAAAAAATCCGATTTAGGCAGCTGCTTAAATTTTCTAGCTCTTAAGTAATTATCGGCTTTATATTTATTTATATTAGGTATTTAAGGTTTTAGCCGAAAAAAAGGTATGGTTAATAGGTCGTAAATTTGCGGAGGTATTTAAAAAATAAAAAGTATTTAAAAAATGGATAGGTGCTATAGCTGGTAATCGCAGAATATATTAATTAAATTTAAAATAATAAAAATGATATTAGCTTAGGTAAAAAAGGGAAGGGCGAAATTTGGAAATAAAGGTTAAAAGAAAATGGCAGGCAAAGTAAAAAAAAAAAAAAAAAAAAAAAAAAAGATTTTTGTAATAAATGGTTTATAGTATGGTAATAGATCTAATTTATATACTTTTTGCCGTGGTTGCTATAAATAAATTATAACCTGCTTTTGGAAGGTACGCAAGTTATTTACTTATAAATAAAGCTCGGGCCCCTTTTAACTGGTTATAAAATATTATATTTATATATACTCTTTTTCTCCCTATTTATTATTATAACCACAACCCGAACAACAAAATTAATACCATCTCCCTATTTATTTAATTAAATTAATTTATTCTTTTCTCCTTATTTAAAATATTATTAAAAAACTTTAAAAAAAAGGGGAAAGGCAAAAAGCTCGTAAAACCACCTCTTTTTTTTCCTTGCGACTATATTACTTATCCTTATACCTATTATGTTAAAAAGCCTAATTAGGCCGATTTTATTAAGGGCTTCGAAGCTTTTGCTTTTTATTGCGACCGGAGCCGTGCTAACGTTTTTGCTAATCGTCCTAATATTGGCAATTTATTAAAACGTAACGGCTTATATCGAAACTCGGAGCCTCCTAAATTAAAAAAGCCTTTCGAAAGCCGCAATTTTATATATAACGCTTAGTTATTTTTTAATCCTAATCCTATCTTATTTAGTCGCTTTTTATTTAAATATCCCGAAAACCTTAAGCATACTAGCCCCCGTAATAATTTTTAAATATCGAATTATTTTCTGGCTAAATAGGGAAATCGCGGTCGTAATCTTAATTAACTTTTTTTAAGTATTAAGCAATTACCCGCTCCTTCTTTTATAGTTTTTCGTATACCTATTATCGAACCTATATATGCTTTTAGCCGAATTCGATCGTCGGTGGCTTTTATATTAACTTTTTAATTTAAAATCCTTTTTATTACCGAGTATATTATATTTGGAAAAGAACCTTTTAATATTTTTCGGTACCTTATTTCCCTTAAAAAGGTTATATCGCTATAAACTAACGAAGCCGAAAATAAGGACCTAAAGCGAAATTTAATAATTTATAAGGTAAGTATTCCGGTATAGGCCTGATTATAAAGAGTAGTATCCGGCTAATTTATTTAAGTATTTAAATACCTAGTAATCTTAATTTATAAAGGTTTTGCTAAGGACCGTTATTTTCGTTAGGAAATTATTAATTAAAAATTTTGGATAATTATATATATAAATGCTATTATAATAAAATTTTTAAATTATAGCAAATTTAAAGAAAATTATCGTATATATCCGTTATTTGCGGAAATTAATAACGGCTCGTTATACGGTCGTATCTTTTACTAAATTTTTCGAAAACCTATAAAAATATTTGGTCTTTTTATATAGATATACGGAAAGGAAAATATAGTTCCTTGTTTTACGTATAAAACCCGTTTTCGATTAGCGGAATTTTAGCATAATCGTAAAAAAGCTTATATAGGAATATATCCGTTTTTAGGTTATCGATTTATATTAAAATTTTTAAAAAACTAATA